GTGTTTGCTGTGAGGTTTTTTTACTCTAAAGATGTCAGGCTGCCTCCATGGGACACTATCGAGACCCATGACACTCCTCCAGCTTGGTGGTGCAGCCAGTGGGTGCTGGATTTCTTATCATGGATTTTATCCATATAAGCAAAGGTCTAGGCTGGCTGAAACTCCTTCTGATGCGTCAGCCAGGTTATGCAGAGAGGTCTTGGAAAGCTTCATCTTTTCCCAAACAATCCATGACTGAGCTGATTATAGAATCATTTAGGTTGCAAAAACCCTCCTAAGATCATGTAGTCCAACCATTCCCTCAGCACTGCCAAGGCCACCACTGGCCCATATCCTCAAGTGCCACATCCATGTGGCTGTTAAATCCCTCCAGGGATGGGGACTCTACCACTGCCCTGGGCAGCCTGTGCCAGGGCTGAATAACCTTTTGGGGAAGAAATTTTCCCTAATATCCAACCTAAATGTCCCCTGACACAACTTGAGGTCATTTCCCCTTGTCCTGTCACCTGGAAGAAAAGCCCAAACCCCACCTGACTCCACCCTCCTGTGGAGAGCGAGAAGATCTTTTCAAACCCCGTTTTACACTTCCATGACCATCTCTGCAACCACAAGCTGAGGTTTCTCCTTGCTCACAGATGTGCAAACACAGCCAGTGTTGCAAGAGATGAAAGGTCCCATGGCACTGTGTCAGCTCAGCCCCCGAGTCAGCCCCATCTTCACAGCTCGGGGTGGAAATGGGGTGATCCCTGCCGAGGCAAACGGATGCAGGGAGGAGGAGCAGGGCAAGGAAGGCGATGCCACCCACGGCGAAGTGTTGGCTTCTGATCTGTGGCTGCTGATCCAATTAAAAGGGTTAATCCCCAGAGACACCCCCTCGGGGAAGGCGGCCTCTGAGAGGTCCCCTGTGGGGAGGTGTGGTCATTAGGGCAGGCTCCTGGTCATTAGCTGCTGTGAGCAGAGAGTGGTCACCAGCCCACGTGGCCTTTGTGTGTGTTCCCAGAGCTCCTCTGGGATGGTTCTTTACAGCCCTGGGAGAAACAAAGGGCTTTGATACTGGTCAGCATTCGGGGTAAACCAAGGTGAAGCTCTTCTCTCTTCTGTGCCACTTCAGGGAAGGGAAAGCCAAAGCACCCAAAAGGTTATGTCTGGAAAAGTATGGATGTGGATAGACAGCTAGTTGGCTGGCTGGATAATAATGGACAGGGATGATGAATGGGGACCCATGATTGCACTTCTGTTGTCTGAAGGGAAAGCTCAGTTCACCCATCACATCCCTGTTGGATCAGGGGTCACTTTTACTCTGCTCAGGTGAGACTCCACCTGCAGTGCTGCCTCCAGCTGTGGGAGTCCCAACATCAGAAGGATGTGGAGTTGCTGGAGTAAGTCCAGAGGAGGCCACGGAGATACTCTGAGGGGCTGGAGCCCCTCTGCTCTGGAGACAGGCTGGGAGAGCTGGGGGTATTCAGCCCACAGAAGAGACAGCTCCAAGGGAGAACTTTAAGCCTCTTGCAGTGCCTAAAGGGGCTCCAAGAGAGCTGGAGAGAGACTTTGGACATGGACCTGGAGTGCCAGGACAAGGGGGAATGGCTTCCCACTGCCAGAGGGCAGGGTTCGATGGGATATTGGGAGGAAATTCTTCCCTGTGAGGGTGGTGAGGCCCTGGCACAGATTGCCCAGAGAAGTTGTGGCTACCCCACCACTGGAAGTCTTCAAGGCCAGATTGGATAGGGCTTGGAGCAACTTGGTCCAGTGGAAGGTATCCCTGCTCACGGCAGGGAGTGGGATTGGATGAGCTTCAAGGTCGCTTCCAACTCAAATCTATTTGTGATTCTCTGATTCATAATTAGGGTTAGGGTTAGGATTAGGATTAGGGTTAGAGTTAGGGTTAGGGCTATGGTTAGGGTTAAGAGCCCTTCCTGCCTCATTGCAGAGAGCAGAGGGGAGACTTTTGTGTCTCCTTTTGGAGACCAGATGTCCTGTGCACCCATGGTTCCATCCCTCAGACAGAATGCATCAGTGTTGCTCCACGACCAGTGCAAGGCTTATTCCTCCAACCAAACCATCAAAAAGCAATGTCATCCCAGTTTTGTCTGCTAGGAGCCAGCAGCAAGATATGGAGCTTGGAGCTCACACCTTTGGTCTTTGCTGCCGGAGCAAGTGAACAGCAAGGGAACTGCAGCCAAAGCAAAAACGTTTTACTGTTCCATATAAAATTTATGGGGTGCCTTTTATGACAGCGTTCCAAAGCAGGGCTGCAGTAAAGGGGTAACTGAGAGGCAGCAAAAAGCCTGACTCTCACCAACAAAGAGCTGGCAGGGGTGTGATACCTGATGGCAGGGGAGAAGTTGATACCACAAAAGATGAGGCAGCCAGGGAAAGTGGATGTGATGGGTCTGGGCAATAAAGAAAGTTATGGGAGGATGGAATGGCCACATCACTCAAACAGCATCTTTGGAGATTTCCACATCTCCTGTTCGTGATGGGAGCACTGAACACCAACTCAGCACCAAACCCTGTTTGCTGGGACCACTTTCAGTGCAAGGAGAACAGCAGAAGAAGGAGCAGAGCCACCCCAGCGCACCTCAGAGCATCTGCACCAGGACAATGACATACATGTTTCCCAGGGAGGGACCAGGCAGCAGCTTCATCTCTTGGTGGGAAGCTCCCTAGGATGAGACTGCTTTTCCATCTCCATCTTGTGTCCCCATGAACCTCTCTCCAAAGAAACTCTATCCTGTACATCATTGCTAATCCCCAAACCTCCCTGCCCAAGGCAGAGCTCAGCCAGGGCTCCAGGCAAGGCAGCACTGGGGTGATGCAGCTCTGTGGTCACTTCAGGCACATGGTGCTTTTGGGAAGAAATACAAAGCACCACGCAGTGGGTAGGGATTACTTGGTGAGGAATAGCAGGGACTACATCCACAGAATTATGGAATCACAGAGCTATTAAGGTTGGAAAAGCCCTCTAAGACCATCAAGTCCAATCCTTCTCCCAGCACTGCCAAGGCCACCACTGACCCATGTCCCCAGGTGCCACATACTCATGTCTGTTAAATCCCTCTGGGACAGTGGAGACTCCACCAATGCCCGGGGCAGCCTGTGCCAGGGTTGGACAACCTTTTGAGGAAGAAATTTTTCCTAATATCCAACCCAAACCTCCTCTGGTGTAACTTGAGGCCATTTCCTCCTGCCCTATCACTTGTTACTTGGGAGAAATGATCAAGTCCATGAGGGTTCCTCTGTTGTTGCTCTCCAAAGGGTTTCTCCTGGTCATGGAACATCTGGAAGCATCCACCACCCTCCTGGACACGGTAGAGGAGCTCTGTGTGCGTGGAACTAGCTCACTCATGGAACCCAAGAGATCTGTCTGTGTCTGGGCTCAGTACAGCCTTTATGGGTCCAGTACAATGTAGATGGGCTCAGTATAATCTTTATGAGCTCAGTAGAACTTACATGGACTCAGTAAAACCTTTATGGGCTCAGTGCAATCTACATGGGCTCAGTACAACCCATTTGGGCTCAGTACAACATATACGGCCTCAGAATAACCTTTATGTGCTCAGTACAACCTGTATAGGTTCCATATAACCTATATGGGCTCAGTAGAACTTATATGGGCCCAGTACAACCTGTATGGGCTCAGTAACCCAGAGATACCTGCAGGAAACCTCATATGGATGAGAATTCTTGCTGACTTTCTCCCAGCCTTCCCCATGAACCCAGCAGAGCAGCTTTTTTTAAACTCCTGCTGCTTCTGGTAAATGAGCACGAATTGCACCTCTGCTCAGCTCCAATTAGATCAGCAAGGGTGAGTTAATTAGGCTGATGAGCAAGGGCTCAGGCTCTGCCCAGGGCTGGCAGCATCCTCCCTGCAGCTACAACCATGCAGGCGAGGGGGTGGCTTTACCCCTCTCCCTTCACCTCATGCCATGGGAAACACCCCTAATGCCCAAAGCATCAGTGGGATTTTTTTGTGGACAAGCTGAACCAGCTCAGCCTCAAGATCATTGCCTGGCTCTGGTGAGTGCTGCCAGCTCAGTGCCTGCTGGCTACTCCAGTTCTCCCTGGTTGCTCCTTGCTGTGGGTCCTCTTTCATTCCTCTGAGTTTTGGCACCTGTTTCCATCCACTTTGTATCCACCAACTCTGTTTTTTTGGAGCATAATGAAGAGAGAAGGGGAAAGCATGGGATGGGAGCTGCTCACATTGATCCTTTCGTAGTCCCATGTGAGTGGTTGCCTGTCCAAGACAGAGCTCCTGCACTCACTTAGCAGCTTGCTTGGGCTCCTGGTCAGCATTCCAGGACTTCCCATTTCCTAGCTTATCACCAGTCCCCCCATGCCCACCCCTAGTTCCAAGATCTGTTTTCAGCCCAAAACCATGTGCAGACCACGAGGAAATGGGAAAGGATGATCCCCTGCTGATGAGCAAAGCATCCATGGGATCCTGTATCCCTACTCTGAGAGGTCAAGGGGGTCAGACCCCACCAGGATGGGACCCCTTCCAGAGATGTAATACAGACCTTAGAGGGAAAGGAAAACCAGCACAGGAAGCTGAATCAAGATGCTTTAATCAGATTTATCAGACAGATTTGGATCTCCAAATAAATAGATTTATCAAAACAGAATAAAACAAGAATCCAAGGATAAATACACATACCAAAACCAACTTGAAAATCCCCCAAAGCTGTTTCCAGACAGGGGGAAGGTGATGCTGCTGCACACCCTCCTCCCCACGCTGCAGAAATGGTCCTGTTGACTCTCTGGGAGATGCCCCTCCAGTGAATACAGCCCAGTAGATATTATGTAGGATATATATAAATATATAGCATAATAACCTGCTTAGTAGCAACCTTAGTGCAGTGTTCAGAGTCTCAGACCCTGTCAGCAGGTGGGTCCTCCCAAAAACTACATCTTCACAAGATCTGCAAAGAAGGGAAAAGGATCCTCCCAGCTGGAACAGAGGAGGAAAGATAGAAGACTTTTCACAAAACACCCTTTGGAGGGTTTTCAGCCAAAGAAACCCTTTACAGATCACAGGGGCTTTAGGAAAAGAAATAAGGATGATTTTTCTTTCCTTGCAGGTCATCTTTGCATCGGTGATTGGAAAGATGCGCAGTCAAGCTTTGCTCCTGGTGCTCTTTGAGAATGCCAGGGTGACAGGGATGTATCCCACCTCTTCATGTCACACCAGGTCTCACACCTCTGCCGGTTCACCCTCTTCCCTCTGCGTATCCAAGGACAGCAGAAGATGGAGAGCGAGTGGAGAGAGGCGCCTCCATGGCTGCGGCTTTCACACGGATCAACTGGGATGTGAAGTTTCTGGAACTTACACTAGTGTATCCTTTATTGAAGTGCCAGTCTATTTAATAATGCAGCTCTGGTTCTCATATATATGTGTATGTGTGGGGGTGTAGATAAATCAAAAGCGAGGGTAAAGTTTTTTTGCTTTACAAGTTCTTTGTTTCTTTCTCTGGGCTCTCTGTCATCCTCAGCTCTGACGTCTGGGCTCGGAAGATGTTCCAGTGACCTGGACGAGCAGAGAGGGACACACATCAGCAACAACCTTGGAGCAGGAAAGCACAATTTCCCCCATATGTATCACCGTCTCTGCTGGAGGATCCACAAGGAACCATGCTGGGAGAGAGGCTGGGATAGAGATCTACCCACAACACCAGCCATGGCCAGGGTAGCTCATCAGTGATTCATCATCCAGCTCTAGACTTTGTCACCTCGAAGTTAAAATGCTATTTGTGGTCAAGAGGGGACTTCTTACCCAGTGCAGTGCAATTAATGGCACAATCAATGGCACTTCCAATGCTTTTCCTGGTAAACCCTCGCACGGTCTTAAAAGAAAAGGAGCTCAGATTGAAACAGGGATAAATCCCTCTCTCTGCCTCCTCAAAGGGTGCTTTGATATGATCTAGGACCATGTCCTGCCTGGCCTGTCTGGGATTTGGGATGACTCCCTGCTTCTCAGGGGGAAGAAGCATTTTGCTTGTCCTCTGTCTCACCCTCAGAAAACCAAAATTTCTGTTTCTTAGCAGTGGGCAGGTACGTTTCTCTCCTCCCTTCTGTCAGCCCTATTTCTTTCAGCTGGCTTGCTCAAAGCCCCTACACTTGTATTCATTTTCCTGCTGCTGCATCAGCCCTGGCTCTTCTACCTATGGTACAGGAAAATCCTGCTGCAGAAGGAGAAGGAACCCCCCTCAATCCCCAACAGCCTCATCAGTGAGCTGCAGATTCTCAACAGGGTTATTTGCCAGGGGAAACTGAGGCAAGAAGAAGCCAGCACATTACTCCATGAGGGTGTGAAACACAGCCTGGGAGCAGGGACTGGAAAATCCCCCAGGGTTTGCTCCAAGAGATGTTGTCCCAGGCAGATTGGGGGTGAAAATAAATCTCCAGCCTCCCTGGCACACTGGGTGCACTGGGCAGCAGCACTGTTCCAAACTGACCCAGTGACCTGTGGGTGCTGGACAATACAGGAATGGCTCTGATCCCAGCCTATCCCACTAAACTCCAACACAGCCCAGGAGGAGAGGCAGCCAGCAGGAAATAGCATGGCAGTTTCACTCCGTACAGGCGCTCCCGGCATGTGCACTGGCATTCCTGCTTTTCGCAACATTTACGCACATCCAAGAACACTCAGAGTGATTTTTAAAAACACTTCAACAGTTTATTTTCTTTCTAATCCCTTGCATCATTCTTTTTTTTTTTTCTCCTTCATCCCCCCACCCTTTAAGACCAGATGGATTAGATATAAAAATCAAACAGTTTTATGGGCTTTGGAGAGACAAATCCTTTGGATTTCACAAGGGTGCATCCACTTTTAGAAAGCTGGCTGCCCTTTCCAATACCATAAAGTGGCTGTTAACCAGGAGTGTTGCATATGGGTGTGAAAACAGGTCAGTTCCAACCCTGCTAAGCTTGCACAAGCCTTTTCCCTATGGTTCAGCTCCCCATGCCGTGTCGGGATTTATGCAGTCTTTTTGGAATGGCCAGAGCAGAGCAGGAAAATAGCGGGTTGTTTGGGGCAGGATGTGCCGGAGGAGTGAGGAAAAGGTATTTTTCTTTCCCTACCTTCGTTTGTCCTGGTGATCAGCCTGAAGTTTTGTGCTTCTTGCTTGAATTCTTGTTTGCTGATCTTCTTGGTTTGGATCAGATGGAATATTCCTGCAGAGGGGAACACAAGGCATCAGATTCTTGATCTAAGGCTCACACAGGTTTGGCTGTTCTGTCCCCTCCTGAGCTGCAAAGGGGAAACTGCCTGCCCTGGATGCCCTGGGGTCCTGGTTCGGTGCAGGACCTGCTGGCGAAGCCTAGTGGGAGTTTGGGAATGAAACCAAGGTCAGGAGAGATCTCATTTGAATATTAGATTGAATATTAGGAAGCAACTCTTCCTTGTGAGGGTGGTGAGGCCCTGGCACAGGTTGCCCAGAGAAGCTGCCCCATCCCTGGAAGTGTTCAAGGCCAGGTTGGATGGGGCTTGGAGCAACCTAGTGGAAGGTGTCACCGCCCATGGAAGGGAGGTGGAACTGGATAGGCTTTAAGTCTCTTCCAACCCAAACCATTCCATGATCTTATGGTTCAATGCAAACTGCACTGGTCACTAAATCAGGACACAGCAGGGACACCATGAAGCAGGTGAAAACAGTAAGATTTTGTTGCTCCAAAAAACATCTTGTGCTGGAGAAGTTCTGATCTTCCCCAAAAACCATAAAAGAAATAAAGGTGAGACCAAGATGATGCTGAGATCCCTGTCCCCTCTGCTCTCTCTCGACCACCTATCTCCCTTGACTGCTGAGACCCCTCCATCCTAGGATGTTTTCCTTTCCTGGAAGCAGCCAGGGACCAAAGTTTTCCATCTCTCAGTCACCAGCCCTGAAATTCCTCCAGGACAGGAAAAAAACACGAGTGACCTCAGCAGAGATTGATATTTCTGGCTGTGCCAGCATCATCCCATTAGTAGAGGTGCCTGACTCAGGCATTTGACCCAAGCAAACCAGAACCTGCATTTAGCAATGGAAGTGACCTTTCTGTGGGATCAGGGGTTACGATATTCCGAAGCATGACAAACCAGGCAGGTATGCCTGGCATATCCTTCCCCACCTCTCACCCAGGCTCCCAGAGCATCCAGCCTCTTGCTGCCAGCAGATGTGAAAGGCAATGTGGTCCCCCTTATTTGGTTAAGACACTTTCTCTGATTCCCAGCAGCAATTACACATAAAAAGAGTATGTCATGAAAGGGAACCAGCTTGCAATCCATCTAAATGAGATGTTATGGACTGTGGAAAATTAATACAGGAAGTCAAAGACATACAGTGGGTATTTGGACTATTAATAAGTCCTTTCAGTGGATTGGGAAAAGAAGTCCTACAAGTAACAAAAGAAGATACTGGATGGAGGTAATATAACTGTTAACGACACAAGAAAGGCACAAGTGTTCAATAAATCCTTCTGGTCTATACTTAGAAAGGGGCAGGAGGCTTTGCTTGCAGTCCCCATGGCTGATGAAGCACTTTCCAGCACATTAGTAATGAAGAGGATATTTAAACAAGAGCTAGTAGAGATAAACAACTTTTAATCAACAGACCCAGATAATGTTCCCCCAAGAGCTCTCTCAGAGCTGGCTGAGACCTTTGCCTGCCCTGGGATGACCGTTCCTGACAGATGCCAGGAGGTGGGGAGCAGTGCAGGAATGCAGAGGATGCTCCAGGAGGCACAAGGAGAGCACAAGGCAGCGCAGATAAGAACAGTCCACCCACCAGAGACAGGAGGGGATGGAGCTGCGAAAGAGCAATGCCACTTCCTGTCAAGCAGATCCCATCCAATGGGCAGGATCATTCCTTGCAACGTTTTGGGTGAGATGAAGGGAGGTGGTGGGGCTGTCAAGCACTTGCCACTTTCCTTGGTGCTTTAAAGGGGATTTATCAGGAAGACGGGGACAGACTTTTTAATAGGGCCTGTAGAGAGAGGACAGTGGGTGATGGTTTCAAACTAAAAAAGGGGAGATTAAAACTACATAGGAGGAAGAAATTTTTTATGGTGAGAGTGGTGAGGCCCCCAGCACAGCTTGTCCAGAGAAGCTGTTGCTGCCACATCCCTAGAAGTGTTCCAGATCAGGATGGATGGGGAGAAACCTGGCCTAGTGGAAGGTGTCCCTGTCCATGGCAGGGTGTTGGAACAGGATGATCTTTAAGGTCCCTTCCAACACAAACCACTTTATGATTCGATAATTCTATGCTTTAGGTGTTGCCTAAAGCAAACCAAATAGAAGTAGAGTACAGTAGAGCACAAGGAATGAATTAATGGAGCAGCTCATCCTTCCTAATTCTGGAGAGACAGGCTTTTCTGCGGTGCCTTCCTGCCCATCCTGAAATGAGTGGACATACCATAATTCTCTCTGCTGTCTACATGGGAATCCAGCATTACCAGTACTTAACGCTGGGCTAGGGAGTGAAGCAAGTTTGGTTCAAGAAACTGGTCTCAAAACTTTCTAAATCATCTGCAAAACAAAGCCTTGGTGGGTGGCTGGAGGTGGCAGCCTGGGTGTACATGGGATTATGAGACTCATCCTAGCAGGACACAACCTTTGGCCAGAGACTCACACCCCGGTTTGGGCTCTGCATTTCAAGAAAGACACATAGAGTCCAAAGCAGAGCTATGGGAAGGACCAAAGGACCGGAAATTTCCAAAATCAAGGAAAGACTGAAAATATTCAAGTTCTTAAACCATGTAAGAGAGGGTAGAGATGGGAGCTGATGCCATCTTCAGAGGAAAGGACTGTGCTCTTCACATGTGCAGTGGAGAGGACAAGAAGGTACGAGCTTGAGCTGCACACTGGGAAAAGTCTTCCCTTAGGAAGGAGTTTGTGGCTCTAGAAGAAAGTAGGTGGGCTGTAGAGTCTCCATGTCAGGAGAAAACACCAGGAAAGCATGGGGATGGCTGGTGTGAACCCTGCAATTCTCCTCCAGCCCAGATGTGAGGGAATACGAGCATGGTGAAACCCCAGGGATGGCTGGAGGTCCCAGAGCTGTCAGTTTTCAGTATAGAAAGGAGTATTTTGATCACTGTCTAATCAACAGCCTGGCAGGGTAAATGTGGGAAAGGGGTCTATGGATGGACCACACCTCCAATCCAGGTATAGGGCAGGAATCAACAGCAGAGCCTCCAAACTATGCTGGTCCCCCTCTGATCCTGCCTGTTCCTTTGTTGTCCTCTCTCCCCACGATAACTCCTGCTCAAAAACGCTGGAAAGTCACTTTTCAAAGCTCCTGGTGGTTTTCAGACCCCTAAAAACATGGGGAAGCCCCTACTGCAGCTCTTCTGGACGCTAGTCGTGCACCACTAGCCAGTTGGGTAAGACTTTTGGCTGGGTGTTGGCACTGGTTTCTCCTCTCAGCTCCTGTTTCATGGAGAAAATCCTCCCAGGACAGAAATAGAGAAGGCCATATAGGTATCACAAGCCCATACAAAGGCAGATGGACAAGGTCCAGATGTGACTTGCAGCCTCTTTACTCCACACATGCTGCACTGTTGGTAGAGTAGATGGACCATGCAGAGGTGGAATCCATATGTGACTCTTTCCCAATAACAACACTTCGCTCTGCCAAGCAAAAGAGCTGTGTTGGCCTCGGGGACAAGGGCCTTCCCTGTCCCCAGCTGGCAGAGCTCAGGAGCTCCATGCAGGCATGAAGCTTTTGGCCTCAGAAGGTACCAAGAAGGTTTGGGTGGCAACTTCTGCCAAGGAGCGAGGAGAGGAAACGGTGGGGCCCAGACAGTGTGGGCTCAGAGCTGTCCTCTAGCTACAAGGTGCCATTGTGAAGGAGAAGAGGGGGAGGATGGAGAGAGGGGCACCATGGAGGATGGAGAATGGCAGGGGGAGGATGGAAACATGGTGGCAACCAGGGGTCCATCTCTGGGTTTATTTTCTCTCGCTACTATCCATGTGCACCCACCCTTTGTGGCCAGGAAGAGCCTGGCTGAGGTCTCCCTAGGGAGTGAGGTGACACATGACCATAAGCAAGAGACCAGAACATTTGCCTACACATGTTCAGAACACAAGGACTGAGGGCCATTGTATCCATAGGAAAGGTACAACCAACCTCAAATGCTCGAGTTTTTTGGATAGAGAACAGAAACTCAGGGTTGGGGCACCACGATGCTTTTCTGGACCCAAGAGAAACTCAACACAAATATCTACCGGACCAGGAGTCCCTGGGATCCTCTGGTCCATAACACTGTTGCAAAGCTGAAGGTATGGGGAGAGAGCAAGAAACAGTGTATTTGCCATGCTTTGACCTCTGGAGGACACACCAACAGGAGCATCCAAATCCACCCATCCGAAAAGTAGCCTGGGGACAATTCATTCCCCCTTCAGAAGCTATGGGTGGACTAGGGTTAAAAAAAAGAGCAAAAGCAAAAACATGGAGTGCCTGAACAATTTTTTGTTTGTTTGTTTTCCATGTGCATTTGGCATGAAAACAGGGAGGTTTAGGGGAATAGCCCCATGGCCCTTGCCTTGTTTGCTCACATGCTGTGCCTCTGGATAGTGTTGCAGCTTGTGCTGGGGCCAAAAGTGGTTTCTAGCCCCTGGTCTGCATAGAACTGCAGGAAAAGAGGGTGAAATGAGGGAGCCAGAAGAGCCACCCTGCTGTCAGCAGGTTTTGATTCACCCCACAGGGGCTGAATCACTGCTAGAAAAACCTGAAAAATTGACCAAAGCTTGGAAAGCTTCAGGTTTCCACATACTCCTTGCACTCCTGGATCGTTTTGTTATGGTACTCACCTTTAATCAACTTCCAGTTGTAGATTTCCACCTCCTCCGTCAGCTCCTTCTCGATGGCCATTGTCCTGAGGATCTCCTTGGAGTTCTCTGAGCGTGGTGGCACAAACATGTACACCAGGACATGGCTGGGGTTCTTGCCACACCGGGTGGTGACTATTTCATCTGTGGGTTTGACTCTAGTTTCTGGGCAAACATAAGGACAGAGTTTGTGAAATCAGGGCAGGAAGGAGCCTGGAGGAGCTGCCTCAGCACCCGGGCCATGGAAAAGGCATCTAGTTGGGTTTGGTGCCATTGGACACAGCTGTGTCTCTGAACAGGACCTTGATCTGATCCCCAGCACTGGCAGCAAAGGGAGGTGATAGTAAAGGACTTGTGGACCTGCTCATCCTGATGTTTTCCATTCCCTCTGACTCAGGCAGCAGGGCAGGGGATTTTCAGCACCTCGATCTCACCACAGGGACCTTGGTGCCACCGTCACCACAAAGCCCAGGCTGGATTCCCCATTTCCCATCTCACTCCCACTGCTGTCCTGGAGGAGGAACATCAGGGAAGCAAAGGGATGAGCCAGCAGTGTAGGATCCAGAGCTGTTGCTGGGCTGCCTGGGCAGCATGCCCAGCTCAGCACCATCCCCAGCACTCTCCCCATGTGGGGTGCCACCCACACTGGGGCCCTACGTGACTTCTGCAACATCCTCGGTAAAGGAGAGCTGCTAACATTTCACTTTTTTTTTTTTTTAATGTATCTGGAGTAATTAAGAATCCCCCATGGTTTTGGAAGGAGATTTATTGCCTTTGGTTGTGAGCCTTGGAAGGCAGAGGAGCCCAGCCCTGCTGAATTTAGCCTTGTTCTCCCAGCCATTTTGGACGCTGAAACTTTTTACACTACTCGAAAGAAAGCTGGGCTATAAATAGACGCATGGGCTATATTTTAGTAAGACAGTTATTTCAGGCCTGATTCTGCTCCCCCCCAGGCTTTCTGAGGTGGTCCTGAGCTCCTTTTCTCCAAGAGGCGATGGAAATCCCAGTTGAAAGGGATAAGCACCAGGAATATAAGCGTTCAGCTCTGCAGGCTCAGCATGAGGCGAAAGGGGACAATCACAGCCCAGCACCCTCATCCTTTCCACCACAGGGTCAGGGTGCAGGAAAACCTCTGCCCCAGACCATTAAACTTCACCTGCTCCAGGGCATTCATAGAATCATGGAGCTGCTAAAGTTGCAAAAGACCTCTAAGATCATGGAGTCCTTGATTAAAGCCCCATCTTCAAGCCAAGGAAGGAACCCCGTATTCAACAGGCATTTAACAGCTTTGGAGCTTCACTCTGGAGCCACTCAATGGTCCAACAGTGTTGGAAAGGAGAAGCAGGGACATGGGTCTAGGTCACTAGTTCTGCCCACAGCAGCTCTGATGACCTCCCCGTCCAAACAATGGCCACAATCCCGGGATCAGCATCCCTTTAGCAAGCAGAAATCACCCAGTGTTTTTCTTCAAACTACTGGATACAAAGGAGGAAGGGGAGAACAGTTGCAGAAACTACCTGGAGAAAGAAGATGGGCAAAACCTCTGTGCAGTGAAGGAAAGGGCAAGGATGTAAATTGGCTGAGCAATGTGTGTGTGTGTGTGTGTGTGTGTGTGTGATCACTGTCTGGGAGAACTGGAAAGCAAGAACAAAATCATTTTGCCTGCATCAGGGTGTTTAACTGGAAAAAAAAAGAATACTGAACAGCAGACCAGAGATCCAAGCAGAGCAATGTGTGTGTGTATGTGTGTGTGTGTGTGTGTGTGATCACTGTCTGGGAGAACTGGAAAACAAGAACAAAATCATTTTGCCTGCATCAGGGTGTTTAACTGGAAATAAAAAGAATACTGAACAGCAGACAAGAGATCCAAGCAGGGAAAGTTGTCGACTTGAAAGCAGAGAGACCCACAATAATGGGAATGCAAGAATGGAAGGGCTCTGCTCAGTCATCACATCCCATTCCCACTAGGCACCACATCATAAATCCTGCTCATAAACATATCAGAAACCTTATTAAAACAAGCTGAGCTTCTGCCCTTTGCTCCCCCATGGAGGCCATCCCAGAACCTCCCTGCCCAAAGGCTGGAAAACCTTGAAAATTGCAGCTCAAATGATTTTGCAGCCTGTTTGCCCCAATTCCAAAATGTGGCAGCGCCCCTTGGTTGTTCTCCCTGGTGAGACCCTTCCACAAAGCCCCCTTGAAGATATTCATCAGAGGAGATCACAGAGAACCTGCTAGACCTCCAGCCAGGCTCAAAGACACTCAAAGTCTCCGGAGGGAAGCAGTGGGTGATCCATCAGCTGAACATCTCCCGATAAGTGAAAGTACAGACAGGTATAACCTGGAAAACATTCTCCAGTGGGAACAGGAGGAGATCTCACGCCCTGCCACATCTTTGCCAGGTCTGTGGTTTAAGGAAAACAGTTTTTCAAAGACCAAGGAGCAGCTGAGAGACCCAAAACACACTACACATTTAAAAAGGAAAGAGGTCTTCTCCACCATGGAATCACAGAATCATTAAGATTGGAAAAGTCCTCTAAGATCATCCAGTCCAGCCGTTCCTCCAGCACTGCCAAGGCCACCCATGTTCCCAAGTGCCACATCCACATGGCTGTTAAATCCTTCCACTGATAGGAGCTCCCACCACCAACCTGAGTATCCTATGCCAGGGCTGGACACCCTTTTGGGGAAGGAATTTTCCCAATATCCAACCTAAACCTCCCCTGGTACAACTTGAGGTCATTTCCTCTTCTCCTGGTCCTTGTTCCCTGGGAGCAAAGCCTGCCTGTCAAGCAGATGTAGAGCGAGAAGGTGCCCCCCTGAGCCTCCTCTTCTCCAGGCAGAGCCCCCCCCAGCACCCTCAGCCACTCCTCATCAGACTTGTGCTCCAGACCCTTTCTCATGTCCCAGCACCAGCCCAGTTCCCCCTGGCACACTCCAGCTGTGTGTCCAACCTCCATTTCCAGGTATGGGGAACTCTCATTCCAACAAATTGTGAGTACCGGAGATAACCCCATTCCTGGGAAAGGTTCTTCTTCTCCTCCTTTCACCAACATCTCACCTGCCACAATTTAACCCTATGACTTTCTGTCCCACGTGGAGCTCTGGAGAACAGACCATGTGCCCTCTCCCCAGAAAGCACCTTCTGTCTGTCTGAGCATGTCCCTCCTTGAGCGTCTTCCTCCACACTCCACCCTTCCAACAGATGGAACTTTCTGGGGGTCACTGCAACTTCCTCGCCTTGCGAAAGTCCTGCTGCCCTCCAAGACAAGCCAGCCCTTCCATCTGAACTCATCCAATGTGGATTCAAGACACTAGCAATGTGAAACCCTACACATCTATCCCAGGGCTTTAAACCAAAGTAGGGAAGGATCTGAAAGCCAGATGCAGGAGCAGGTGGGATCCCGCCTACCTGGACATATTTTACAGCATTTCCCATCTACTTTTTCTGGATAGTCACATGGATATTCCTTGGGGCACGTGATCTTCTGGCAGTCCTGGACGCCGTCCCTGCAAGTGCAGAGGATGCAGGGCAGGAGGCCGTAGAGCCGAAAGACAGGGTGCCACACTTCCCCGTGGGAATAGGTCTTCCCGTTGTAAACACAAGCTGGAGGAGACAGAGAAAAGACCTGCTGGTGCAAATAAATCCTCCTCCTCTTTGCAAACCCAGGGCATGGTGGAGCTCAACACACTTCACCACCTCACACGTGGGTGGTCCTGCTGCCTCGAGAACAGGATCCGGCAGGGGATTCGGTAGCAGTGGGAACTGGGATATTGCAGGCACCCTGCCCAGGAGGTGCCATGGGGCAGAGGGACCAGGCACCAGGAGATGGAGGCTGCTGGGCTTGACCACCCTGGTGTGGGCGGGGGTAAGTGTGGGCAGGACCTCACCTGCCTCCCAACCTCTGGAAGCCCAGGGTCCCTCGGAGGCTGTTGCAGAATGAAGCACAGTGAAGAGTGCCACCTGCTGACTCCACCACAGAAATTTTTGGAGGTCCCAAAATTTCCTCTAGGGCTTCGTCTCCAAGGACTGGAAAGAGCTTTTCTGGAGGCACAATAGTGGAAGAGCCGCCAGGAGGAGCAAGGACCTGTTATTTCCCCTTTGGATCAAGGGGGTTGCCTCCTCGTCTCACTTTCCTACTCTCTCCTCCAGGAGGAACACCTGGGACAGACCCAGCATGTGGTAGGTAGGTGAGAGGAGGAACATCCTGTCCCTCTGTGGCACTGTACTGGAAGGTTCATGTGGAGCTTTCCAGCTAAGCACCTTGCTTCCCAGGTCCCAGATCTCCAAAATGCTCCAAGGACCAATTTCCTTCCAACTTTTTTGGAAAGTGGGAGATTTATGCAGTCAAGAGGCTCTGGGCCCCAGGACTGAGATAGCAGGGGAAGGCTGGCAGTGGAGAAGTGGGAAGTAAGACTTGCTGCTGGAAACCTGCTGCTGAAACAGATTCCCTAGAGAATTCAAAGTTCTGGAGAAGTCATCTCAAGCCACACACAAACTTCCCAGCCTCTCCATCCCTTACCCTTCTTGTGCTTCTCTTTCAAGACGATCTTCACAGTGGTGCCACCTGCCCCCTTGGGTTTGAAGCTTCTGGGAATGAACTCCAGGGAAGAACTGAGAACAGTGGACACAGTGGCTCCGGGTGGCTTCCTGCCCATCACCTCTCCCAAGCACTGGTCTTGCGAGTGCCTCTGTGAACAGTCAGAGAAAAGGAGGGGGCTCAGATCCAGGCAGTTGAGTTGTTCTCACTCCAAAGCACGCTGGAGAAAGCCATGCAGTGTCCTGCTTGCCTTCCATCAGGAGTGGAAGGTCCATAGACCACAGGGATAAGCAATAACCCAGAAGCCATAGAATCACAGAATCATTTATGTTGGAAAATCTCTCCAAGATCATTGAGTCCAACCATTCCCCCAGCACTGCCAAGGCCGCCACTGGTCCATATCCCCAAGTGCCACATCCACATGGCTGTTAAATCCCTCCAGGAATGAGGACTCCACCACTGCTATGGGCAGCCTGTGCCAAGTCCGGACAACCCTTTCAGGGAAGAAATTTCCCCAGCATACAACCTGAATTTCCTCTGGCACACTTCGAGGCCATTTCCTCTCATCTTGCCTCTTGTTCCCTGGGAGCAGAGGCCGCCTCCCACCTGGCTCCACCCTCCTGTCGGGGAGTTGTATAGAGCTAGAAGTTCCCCCCTGAGCCTCCTTTTCTCCAGGCTGAGCCCCCCCATCTCCCTCAGCTGCTCCTGGTGCTCCAGACCCTTTCCTATCTTGCTGCTGCCACTGCCCAAGGAGCACTGAGTAGTTGAAGTCAAGGCCCCACGCTGGTATCCTCCTTAAGCTATGAGTAGGTCACCTTCATTGGGACAGCAGCTTTCTTTCCCCATGCTCAACCCAAAGCCCTCAGAGAAGCATGTGAGGTCCTACATCCCTGACACAGGCAGGAAAATGGGCTGGTTTTTCCTAGATACCCACTGGGAAACTGAGGACTAGCATCTGTGCGACCCAAACAGGATAAGAAAGGTAAGAATGGGCCATATCCTGCTCTCCCACCTGGTGTGGGGCTGCCATCCAGCAGACCTGAAATCCCAGGAACATCCCAGGCTTCCAAGAGCAAAGTTCTAGGACGAGACATGCAGCACAAAGGGTCCCCTTGTGCCTATTTTGGAGGTTTTATAGCTAGTAGAGCAGTAGGGAGAAGGGCAGAGCCAAGAGCTAAGTAACCTAATCCCACAGACCTGGCTCTGAAATGTCACTATGAAGGAACCTCAGCAAACAAGGAGGAGAACTGTCCAAGATTTTTAGTTCCCAAAGGCCTTATGCTCTTCCAGAGACATAAGAGGTCCTAGACTCAGAATCATTTAGGTTGGAAAAGATCTTTAAGGTCATTGAGTCCAACCCTTAACCTGGCTCTGCCAAGTCCACCACTAAACCATGTCCTCAAGATGCTTCAGATGAAGAGAAGAGTCTTTCCCTGGTGGTCTGAGGTTTCACCTGTGCTGATATCCCTCATCTAGACTCAATTCCAAGACATGATTCCCCTGCAAACCAGGTGTCCATGGTTCTGCTGTCCAAGGACTGGAGTGCCCTCCAAGAGCTGCTGGGGGTCATTTCTTTGTAGAAGACAATGGCCAAGGGCATTCTTTGAGCTGTTTAATTGCAGTGTGCCAGAAGCAATAATCTGAGTTTTAAAATGCAAATATCACGTACAACACCTCTGTTTAACTGCAGGGGTTCCTCCTCTGTGGACTTCTCATAGGAGCCATCTGCAAGGGAAAAACATTGTCCTGTGAGATGCTGGGTGAAGATTTGCTCTCTCTTTGGCTGGAGGCAGCTCTCCTCTGGATGCTGGCCCACCTGGGAGATCTGGAAAGAGGGGAACTTTGGGACATGCAATTCATATTATGCAAAGCAAATGGAGCCACACCCCAAAAAACATTTTATCCCACTATTAACAACAGCTCAGCTCCAGGAAGCTGTAGCTTCTGAAGTTAGGTGGTATGAAAATACCCCAGAGGTAGAGTAAGACGTGATGAAGAATGATTAAAAATAAATCCAAAGACATTTCTCACTGAGTCAGTGACATATCCCAGCTGCACCAAAGAAAACCAAGAGAGAGGAACACAAATGGCAGAAGGGGAGAGTTTGGAGGAGGTACCTGGAAGAAGTCATTCTGTGTCCATGGCCAGGAGGCCACCATGGCCTTCCAGCTTCATAAATATCTCTTGTATTAAAGAGTCATTTTATGTTGTGATTTCACTGTCAGCAGGGTGTGAACCTGCCCATCCTCTCTCGGATCTGTCTCATCTGGAGACATGGAGCTTAACTCTCTCCTCCCTTTCCCAGGTGTGAGACAGGGGAATCAGCAGCAAATTCAAGAGCTTGTCCCTCACAGAAAGCTGTGAGAGTGAAACCCAACCACACTGTACTGGGGTGGAAAGAGGGTTTTTCCCTGACTGTCCTGCAAACTTCCCTGGAGCAACAGTAGAATGCACCACCTTTATATAGTCTGCTCTGCATCCTGGTGGGTGAGTGGCCTGGAGGACTTCCCTCCACACAGGTCCCATCTCTTGCACAATGCACCAGTGGCAGGGCAAGGAGTTCAGCCCTTCCAGTTTTTGGGCTGCAGGAAGGCAAATCACAACTCAGTGAGGGAGGGGAAATGTGCAAGGAAAAACCTGAGCCCCCGTGTTTTGTTCCCTGGTACAACCAAGAAATAGGAAGTGGCCTGATTTATGGTACAGGCTTCCAAAATCCTGCTAAAGTGGCTTGGAATGGCTCCTACTGTCAGGTGGCAACCAACTGGAGTATCCCACCCTCACCCCCAGCCTCATTACCTTTGCAGACCTGGCAGCAGGAGTCCGTCACAGTTAATGGAGAGGAACACAACAGCGTTGGGCAGGTCACCAAGCCGCAGTAAATCTGGCCTTCCTAGGATGGCAGGAAGAAAAAGAAATCATTGTCAGTATTATAAAAGGTTGTATGTCCCCTGTGTTGGGATACCAGCGCTTCAAATTGCAGATCCATCATAAATCATTAGGGAGAAATTCCTCTCTGTGAGGGTGGTGAGGCCCTGGCACAGGTTGCCCAGAGAAGCTGTGGCTGCCCCACCCCTGGAGGCCAGGTTGGATGGGGTTTGGAGCAACCTGGTCTAGTGGAAGGTGTCTCTGCCATGGTAGTGGGATGGGATTAGATGAGCTTCAAATCCCTTCTAAACTAAACCATCTTGTGATTCTGTGATTCCATGATCAAAAGCCCCCTGATAGTACATCTTCAAACCTCACCAATGATTAGTGCTACCAGACCTGAAAAAGCCATGATACACCTTCAAACTCTGCATAACAACCCCCTGATTTGAAGGGCTACAAGAAGATTTTCTCTGACATCTCCCAGGAAAAGGACCTGAAGGAGACAGCTGGAAATGGGAAGCCTGATGCCAAACCCAGACGCAGGTCCATGCCAAAGCTTTGCCCTCCCTCTGCCTGGGGTTACTTAATAACACCAGAGCCAAGCACAGAGACACAGCTGTGAATGGACATTCAGGTGTAGACCTTCTTCCACTGGCTAGGTGGTTGGTTTGGAAACTTCATTCCTGCAGTAAGTCAAACTGAAAACCACAGGTCAAGACCATTCTTGACCTTAGTACATCTCAGTCCCACTTCAGGCAGTCGATTTGCACTGCAGGACTAAGTTTTCACTGTTTTGCAGAAGGATAAAAAAAGGATGTTCAGCAGCCAGAGCTCAACAGCAAGGTCCTCTTCTTCATACAGTAATTTTCTCTGGGGTGTCCACAAGCTCCCACTCAACCAAAACCAAGAGGTCAGCCAAGGATATCCTTAGAAAACCAAACCAGAGCAGCTTCTTCTCTCACTAGGAAGCCAAACTGCTGCACAAGGAACATGAGGAGCATGAGGAAAGTTTGGTAAATGACAGGATTTGATGGAGGTCACAGCAAACCAAACCCTGCTCTCCTCTTCATGGAGTCCAGACCTGCCTCTTCCTTTTTTCTCCTTCTGACCAGTAGCTCACAGCAATGACCTGCCTTGGGCAAATATCATAAAAATCAGGATTTATCCCAGAGGCTCCAGTCTCGGGGAGGTTTTTAAAGAGGGTTAGGCCAGCTGTTCCCGCAGCTGTTCCAGCAGCTGACAACACACACAGCCCAGAGACCCCTCCACAGCCAGCCTTTTATTTTCCTCTTCGTATCCAAGGCATTATCCTACTGAATAAACAGAGCCTGAGTGACAGCCGAGAGGGATGCAGAACTCCACAGGCTCCTGGGGATGAGGTGGGAAAGCAGGGCGAGGTGGGAAAGCAGGGCAAGGTGGGTACGTAGAGTTGGATCCAAGAGCTCCTTCATGGTGTTTCCCACCATCCATCTGGGGTCCCTAAGAGAGGAACCAGCCTCAAAAACTGTATAATTTCTACATCTGAGCTATTCCTCTCGCCACCAAGCTCTAAGGTGTGCGCAAGCCCCGGAGGCTCAGACCAGATATTCCAGTATCACAGGTACTTTACTACCAAGCATTAACTGGTGTAACCCCTGTGTGTGTGCTCCTGGTATGAGAGAGGGAGGTGGTTTGGGCTCTCCTGCCTCTTTATTCTTTCCTGGTCAAACTTGGTCCAATTATTTGCAACTCATGGAGCTGTGGAGGTTGGACCCATCCAAGGGCTCGGAATGATGGGTGGTGAAAGCCACACCTGCAACTCACTTTCTTTTCCATGGCAGAGGCAGCAGCCAGTGTGAGCAGTTCTTCACAGTGTCCAAGTCCAATGTCAGCACTTCCAATCCTCCTTCCTCACTCTATCTCAAGGAGGAGGAGCTGCTCCATTTATCTCCTGACACTCAGCTCCTGGCACTCCACACACCTTCCCGTCACTGCTGACCTCATGCCTCCTGAGAAGGTGTCAGAACTTGGCTTTTGATGGATTTTCACAGGATCCCAACCCCTGGGAGAGGGCTGGGTAGAACAGAGGCAAGCTTTGTCTCAGAGCATTGCTGGAGGCTCATGGAGAAGGAGCATCCCAACAGAGTTAGCAATTGGGGGTGAATGATCACTGAGATGCACACTGAGGACACCCTGAGGGCACACTGTGGCTACTGTCACAGCCCTCAGGTAGGACAATCAGGACCAATCAGGGAAGAAGGGAATACAATGGTCCTGCCAAAGGTCATTGGAAGTGAGCATGAAAAGGAGCTGCTTCCTGCAAATGCTTTTTGTAGACATCCTGAAAAGCACCTGCACAGCCCTCCTGCAGAGCACATCTCTGCTGGCCCAGAGGGCTGGTGAACACTGCAGGAGATTCTAGAGGAGCCCAGCTCCTGGTGCTCAAGCACATCTCAGCCCTAGGTTCAGCTTCCACTTAAACCCAAGCAAGGGGGATGAAGATCCAATTGCCATCCTACTGCCATCTCTGACTGCCCACCACTCCTGTGTCTCTGCTGTCATCTCTGGGGGGAGCTCCAGCCATGCAGGGCAGGAACAAGAGGCAGCTGGAGGCCCGTTGAAACTGAGGCACCTAGCAGTGGTTGGGAGCCAACAAATCCTTTCTGGAGCTCAGCAAAATCCCAGCAGCTCAACAGCAGGGTCAATATTCCATGGAGAGACTTGGTTTAGATAGTGGAAAGAAATTCTTCCCTGTGAGGGGGGTCAGGCCCTGGCACAGGTTGCCCAGAGAAGCTGTGGCTGCCCTATTCCTGGAAATGTTCACAACCAGACTGGACAGGGCTTGAAGTAACGTGGTCTAGTGGAAGATGTCCTTGCCCATGGCAGGGGGTTGGAATGGAGAAAGCTTTAAAGTCCCTTCCAATCTAAGCCTTTCTACAAAACTATGGATCCCGAGAACCTCTGAATCCCAAGCGCTGGCACCTCATGTCCACGTTGCCTTGCAGGCACGTTGAGCTCCCCTAGGTTCCCTGGGGGCCCAGCATCCCAGCTGGATGCTGTCGGACACTGGCCCAGAGCACTGAGATGCTTGATGGGGACAGAGATGTCCCCCTGTCCACCCCAAAAAGCTCCAACGGGGCCCACCCCAAACCGACCCACGTGATCTCCGACAAATCTCTCCTCTGCACTGATAATCTGATCCTGATGATAAACCACCATGGGCTGGTACCACCAGGTCTTCATGTTTTTGACCTTGTGGGACAGTGGTTCAGGAGCAGAGCCCAAGCCCTCCCCACCTCCCGTGGGCTCTGGGGTGGCTTACGGAGCAGCTGCACTGCACACACTGGTTGGGCTGGCGGCTGGGGAACAGCTCACTGGTGGTGAACATCTCCCCTTGCTGGTAGGTCGTCCCATTGTACTGGCAGGACTTGACAGGTGCTCGGAGGCCAGAAGGGGAATGTGGCTCTGGAAAAGAACATGAGAATGGAGCAGGATGAGAGCCAGTCCTACCTGAACCTGATGGAGTGTGGATGCTCTGCAGATCCCTCATGAGCCCAACCCGAAGGGACAAGGAGCCCTTTATATGCCACAGTTCTCATGGAGAAGTGGCCAGGGTTGGTTGGGAATTATGATCCTAGAAGCTTTTGGAGAATGGGTTGCCCTGGCTGCACTGAGCTCAGCACGAAGGTAAAATCCGGAAGTCTGACCTCTGACAAAATTCTTGATTTCTTCCCTCCCCTGGTTATAATGATCTTCACATTCAGATGGAGTCACATAAAAAGGGCTTCACCCATGGGTAATTAGCTAAAAATTAAATTTATGGTTTATTTTTTCCTAGTTTTTCTTCCTAATTTCTCAAATCACTGACGGTTTCTGACTGGCTTTGCCACACTCAGGTAGGAAAAGTTTTGAGGCTAAATCGTGAGGTGATCTATAGGGGTGAGAATGAGCAGATTGAGGTAAATTGAGTAGTGGAGAGTTAGGGAAAATTTGAAGGTCAAAGCTTGAGGTAAAGTGTAAGGGACAAGGAATATTTTGGAGGAAAAATCTGAGGGGACAAAATGAACACTTCAGGCATAAAATGTGAGTTAATCTGTAGGAGAGAGAAAGAAGATTTAAGGTAAAAATTACATAATCAGTAGTGGACAGGTAGTGAAAACTATGGGAGTGAAATCATAGTAATCTACAGGGAGAGAATGAACATATTGAGGTAAACTGAGGCCATCAGGAGTGGACAGGTAGGGAAAATTTTGGGCATAAAACTTGAGATGATCTCCAGTGTAGATAATAAAGTTGTTAAAAATCTTCCTTTTTTCTTTTTTTTTATCCAAGACATTTTACTGGCAAGTGATCAGAATAAAGCACCAGTTTTTGGTTTGTCCCTGAAGTGTGAAATAACATTTTGTCCCTACAAAGCTCTCGGGATGGGGGTGAGAAAGTGGACTGGCAGAGAGCCCTTTTCCATCAAAAATTACATTTTTGGAGGGAAAAAGCATCATGAGCAGCCTGAGCTGTCATGACTCTGTGAGCAGGATCAGACCCAGCATCGCTGCCTTGCCACAGGTGTGAGCAGTTGAGGGACCACTCTGCAGGACCATGGCCACCTTGTCCCCTGCTCCCTGAGGGATGTCCACCTACCAAGACACCTTGGGCAGCACTGCTGGGGGTCCGTGACGGGGTTGGCACACTGCAGAGCTGGGCACTGGATCCGGTAGCACCTGATGTTGGTGTTCTGGGGAGAGACAGAGATGGTTCGTTTAAGCCCACAGGGAACATTCAGTTCATGTTCACCCCTGCTCTTGCAGGAGGGAGATGTTGGGTGGTGGCCACATTATCACAACAAATTGTGCACAAACCCAGCCAGCTCATGGTCCATCATCAGCAAAGACCATTCGTGGTCCAAGAGTACCCCTGAGCCACTTCCACTCACAGCCCACCAACACTACTGAGACAGAATCAAGAAATCACAGACTGGTTTGGGTTAGGAGGGACCTTAAAGATCATCCTATTCTGTACCATGCCATGGCAGGGACACCTTCCACTAGACCATATTGCTCCAAACTCCGTCCAACGTGGCCTTGAACACTTCCAGGGATGGTGCAGTCACAGCTTCTCTGGGCAATCTGTGTCAGGGCCTCATCACCCTCACAGGGAAGAATTACCTCCTAAAGTCTAATCTAAATCTCTCTTCTTCTGGTTTAAAACCATTCCCTTAGTCCTATCACTATCTGCCCATGTAAAAAATCCCTCTCTATCTTTTTGCAAGCTCCCTTGAAATACCAAAAGGTCTCCCCACAGTCAATGGTAACTCCCTCACAAGGTCAACCCAACACCACCAGGGGGATGGGACAGCTTTTTCAAAAGGGAAGAAATTAATCTGATGTTGTTACGGGGCTGGAAGGGGCTTCTCAGGTCAAATTAGACACTCAGGTCAAACTAGGTGCCAAAGCAAAGCCCCAGCTCAGGAGTGTCCCCATCACCTCCCATGGCCCCTCGTAGGGGACGTGCCTCAGAGCAGCTGCAGCGGATGCAGTACATCAGCCCCTGGGGCTCCAGGTAGGGGTGCCAGCTCTCCCCTGGGCTGTACTTCTTGCCGTTGAAGTCACAGAACGTGTCCAGCCCTGAAAGTCAACCAGGAGAAGCCACATGAGAAAAAGAGATGGTCCTCATGAGAGGTCCCCTCCCACTGCGATGAGAACAGCAAGGACAGCTCTGCGCCTTCATGCTGCTCCCTGTGAATAGCTGATGGCCACATCCCACCCACCAAATCCCAGATGGAATACACTACCCCAAAATTTTTTTTTGGCAATGATTTGGTGGGGGGGCGTTTATGCTGGGACACATGTGATCCAAATGGCAACTCCTCCAAGCAAGCCGGACTCCCTTTGCAAGCAAGGAGCAAAATGGCTGGTTTGGAGGCAAAAAAATTGAGATTTCACTCTAAAATAGGTCAGTAGAAATGCTCACTGGAAGATGGGCAGGTGATGCTATAGGACGGAATTTCTCCCAGGGAGTGGTGACAGAGATAGAAGAGCCTGAATTTAGGGGACATTTTCACCGTTGCACAACAACAACAACAACAACAACAACAACTAGAAGAAGAAAGAAAAAAGAAAGACAATTTTGGGTGGAAACACATTCTGGAGGAAAACCTGTTGCTCTCTCTAAGAACTTCAGCTCATTCTCTTCAGGATCCCTGGACAAGCACTATCACCATGCCAGCAGCCAAACATCATCCCTAAGGAGCAGGACTGGGCTGGCTTGTCCCATCTCCTTAGCTTTACCTGGCTTGGTGCAGCACTGGCCAGGCTTTTCATTTATGGGCCTGTCCATGGGAACAGCAAATCCACCTCATCCATTTTTTGCCCCCAAAAGCATAAACACATGTGGGTTTTTTTCTTCTATTATCCTTAGAAGAGCCAGTTTCCAGCTGTGCTCCTGAACAGGAAGGGTCTGTCCCAGAAATAATCCAAACCTGGCTACACTGGTGTAGATTTAACCTCACCACGGCACAGGGAGAGCAATTAGATGGTGCCCAGCACAAGTGGTGAAGGAGGTTCCCCCTCCCTCCCTGTATTTTAGCAGTTCCCTATCAACTCCCTCCATCTCCAAGTCCTTGGTCACACGCCAACCCTTTGACAGGACCGGGTCCGCCTGCAGCAGGAGCCTGTGGGACAAACCATGGCCAGAATCACCACCAAAACCCCAGGACTTTGGCCAAAAAATCCAAATCAGTCATTATTAATGTTCACATCCACAAGCATCACCTAGTCCTGCAGGACCAAGCTCCAACCCACAGGAATCTAGATCCTGTAACAGCCCTGATGGCTTCCCCCACTCTCCTGTGACGTGTCCCCAAGCCCCGACCAGGCAGAGGGTCACACCAGGACTTGAGTTGTTTCATGACTAAGCACACACCTGCCTGATGTGGTTTAAGTGCTCACAGCCCCACTGAAAACTGAAGGTGATTTAAAAGTTTATGTCATTGAGGGGATTTGAGGTAGTTTGGGCAATGACGTTGCTCAAGGGCAGTGGAGACATTTATGCTCCCTGAAGCTTTTATGGGTCTTTTAAAACCTTACAGCACCCTGGGGATGTGGGAGAGGGCTGTTTTTCAAGGCATAGTGCCCAGCTCCATGAACTCGGATGTTTACCCTGCCAGGCTGCTGGGAAGGCTCCTTGATGAACAGCAGAGGGTCCCCAGAATGATCCCACTGCTGTTCACCACCTCAAAGATGCTAAAAGTCATCCTGTGCTCTCCTTTGTCACCTGGGGCCCAGCAGTGGTTTGGAGAGCCCAGCTGGTGTTGTCCCACCTTGCCAAAGCTGGAGATGTCACCTGCTTAATGGATTTCTCTCATCAACCAGACAAAGCTCATCCAAATATTCTTGGGGTGGGCTGCAGTCCCTCCTCCAGCTCCTGACCATCCTCAAGATGAACCCAAGCAATGCTCTACCATGGCCAGACTCTCTGGCCAGCAGGAAGGGCAGCCCTATAGGTCTGTGATGATCCCTATGGGTCTCTGCCAGCAGCCCTGAGCTCCTCGTTGGTGGCTTTAAGCATTTGATTCCCCAAGCTGTACTTTCACAGGAGCTGTCTAGACCTTGTGGTCCAAACACAGCAGTGTGGGGCCAGCATTGCATCTGCAGAGATGGAGATTTGCAATAATTTGGAGTGCATGTCATCAGAGGGACAGGCAGAGGTATTTTCCTTCCTTTTCCCTACTCAGAACTTTACATCATCCACATATCTTGCTCCAAACCCCTTGACAAGCCGGCAAACCTGTACTCCTGGACACACAGGGCACGAGCTTACAGCATACTACACAAAGCTGGTGAGCATGCAGCTGGAAAATGCAGAAACCCAAGAGAGAGAGGAAAAAAAAAATCCACAAAAATAGTTTTGCAAAAGGGTGAGAAAATGACTTCATTTTTCCCTGCTTGCAGCATCTTCATGAATTACACTGAGAGTGAAGAAATCGAGTTGCCTCCACGTGCTGTGGCCCCGCTTTGCTTTGCAGGCTCTCCTGCCAGTTGGCTGCTCCGTGCAAACATTTAATCACCAGTGGAGCCCTGGTTTGGGTCCAGCCCTCGAAAGCAGCCTGATTCATGTCTGCAAAGGGGCTGCTGGTAAAATTAAAGCTGACTGGCAGCACTGGGCAGCAGGAGACACTTGTCAGCATTTGGCAGCTATTTGGCAATAGCCGCTGGCAATTTTGGGTAAAAGCAAGCTGGGGATGGATGGATGGATGGATGGATGGATGGATGGATGGATGGAAGGAAGGAAGGAGGAGGCTTAAGACCTGGAGGCTCTGGATCATTTTTTCCCATGCCAGGCTAATAATTTCATTTTCAGAGTTCAAACTTTGGATATCCTCCCAATTCACTTGGAGTGAAAAGCCATTTGTGGCAGTGAATTGCTCCCATGCTGTTCAGTCACTTTATTTATTGTCTTCAGCAAGAGCATGCTCAGAAAAGTCATGTGGGTTTACTTCTCATTTTCCAGAGAGGGCTCAATAGCTGTGGAGTGCTTTGCAGCACCAAAAATCCAGGTGAAGCCATGGAAAATCTTGTTTTCCTTCTCAAGAACCTGTCCAGCCTGGTCCATACCACCTTGGAGACACAACCAGAGCTTGCTGACTGCAAACTAAGCTCCATGCTTAGAAGTGGCCCTATGAGACCTGGAAGCAGGAGCAGAGGGTGGAAAGGGATAAGTTCCCCACTGCAAAAACCTCCGAGAGCAGGTGCCATCTAACCAGTTTCTTCTCAAATACAAGAAGCCCCCAGTACAAGATCCTGGTCTTCAGATTTCCATCATGGGTTCTATGGGCCAGAAAAAAAATACTGAAAGCCATGACAATGATTCCTCTGCTGCCCAGCAGCAAGACCTGTGGCCTCATGCCCAGAGGGAGGGTGGGAGGTGCTCTGGAGAGTGACTCCTCCACGGGGCAGCTGCTCCGCCTTGCCCACCCCAAAGGGCTCTGCTAGGGGCATCCTGAAGGAGGGAGGTTCTCCCTTCCTTCCCATCCAACAGCTACTTTCTGCCGTGGTTCCAGTGCTTTCTCGATTGGGGACCACCTGGTTACATCCAAATCATGGAATACCCCAGCCACTGGCCTGGTCCTGCTCATACCCATACTTACCTGCTGGAGCCACCTCGGCCCTGCTGTCTCCAGACATTTGGCAAAGCCCAAGTTGGCACCAGCCAAGACCCATAGCAAGAGTCTGGACACCCTTGGGAAATGCTTGAGGCTATACCCAGGCCCTGGTTTGCTTTGGTTATCGTTAATTGAAATTAATTAGCCTTAATTGCATCCTGGATGGTAAGGAGGAATGTAATATGAGATGGGAAGTACAATGGGAAGAGGCAAGATAGGGCTGTTAAGAAAAAAAAGGGTGATCTCTGGTCATGGCAGAGACAAGAAAAAGCAACCAGCTTGGGAAAAGCCTGGAAGATTTAGGATATGTATTGTGGGAAGCTTTCCAGCCACTAGGAGATTGAAACCCCACAAAAGGCTGTCACAGAAGGTCTAAGACAGTCTGAATCCACTGGAGCACCTTCACAAGATGCTTTAGAGACACCAATCCAGGGTGACAGAATAAATGGTGAGGAGAAACCCATCCTGAGCTGCATCAGGTAACTGCTGACATCTCTCACACCATGAGAACAGAATGTTTCTTCAAGATGTATCTCAACAGCTTCATACACCAGCCACCAGTGAGATACCACCCCACATCTTCTTGACCTGCTCTAGACTCAGTGAGAATCCACAAAATGAGGGGAGATGAGCAAGATCTCACAACCTCCTTGTTGGACCATCAAATTGGCTAGTGTTGATCAGAACACTCCCAGATATAGAATCACAGAATCACAGAGTGGTTTGGGTTGGAAGGAACCTCAAAGATCATCTAGTTCCAAACCCCTGCTACGGACAGGGACACCTTCCACTAGAATTTGACCACATCTCCTAACCTTGGCTCCAGACAAGCTGGGTCTCTGTCAGTCAGTCCTGACTAACATTGGAACTCCTCTATGCTCCAGGACACTGGGAGTCTCCAGAAGTGAGTCCCTGCTGCAGGCTAGAGAGCGGCTGATGCACCTGAAAGACCTCAAAGCATGGAAAATGCTCATCCCAATTGCTCATCCAGTACAGGAAGCCTCCACCAGTCCCGTGCCTCAGTTGCCCAAGCAGGGACCTTCACTCCAGGTGCCAAGCTGGTTCCAACAAGGATTTTATTGAAACACTTCACAGGGCTTCTCCTTTTTCATTCCATGGCTGGGGCAGGGATGGGAGGGGGCATTCCTACATCCCCAGATGGCACCCCTGGAGCTCTATCCACTCAGGGAATGTCTGAACCGGGCTTGCAGCCCCAGCAGCTCTTTTGGAGGTCACACACCTGCCAGTCAGCACCGTGGCAGCTGGGGGGGGGGGGGGGGGGGAAGTTTATGCAAACCAGTTTGCAAGTTTTAAGAGCGGCCATAAATAAAGTGTAAAAGGCACTGTCTGGTACACAGAGTCCAGGCGCTCCTCTGACAGCCCTATATTTATGAAGGGCTTAAAACGCAACTTAGCTGAGAGGGGACTGGTTAAAACACACTAGGCCCTTGACATGTGGCATCCCAGAGACTCTGCTCACATCTCCAGATCGCTTCTTACACACTCGCCTCACTCAGCTCTGGGTTGGGAATACCTACTCAGGACTTTGGAAGCCTGGAAAACTCTGTAGGTCCAAAAAATGCAGCCTCATGAAGCATCTTTGAGCTCCCCAGGGTGGAGAACCCAAGCGAAGTCCCACACCTAGAGGATCCCCATGGGCTCTGGAGCAGCAGACGGGGCCCAAATTCCCAAGGGAATGTTCAGTTGTCTAGAGCAGGTTGTGCAGCCGTCACATCCCCCTTTCCATGGTAGTGGTAGCATCTGCTTTTCATCCTGGTCCTTCCCACCTTGGACCACCCAGTCCCTCAGCACTCGTAGGACAGAGGGATCCCATGAACCCCCTTTTCTCCAGCATGTTAAAAAGAAATGAAACAGCAACTTCCAAGCTCCTGGGAAAAACCACTGCCCCACGCTCTCCAGAGATGCTGGTGTTTAAATGCCTCCAGCCAAAACATGGTTGCGTTCAACTATTGCCCCTGAATTACTCAGAAAGCAGCACATTCGGCCCAGTAACCTGTGCCTCTGATAGCTTTTTTTCATCTGGGAGCACAAATCCCCTAAAATAGCCTCTTTCTGTGGGCAAATTCTTCTTTTCTGACTTGCCTTCAAGCCTGAGCATTTCTGCTTCTCACCTATTTTTAGCCACGACACTGTAAGTCCCTTGACTGATGAGCCTGCTCATAATTAATTTATTCCTGTCTTCATTCTCCCTGAGCACTAGGCCTTGAGAAAAATCTGAGGCTGCAGAGGTGGATGGTGGACCAAAGACCACAATTTGATTAGGGTCTTGTCACCAAAACCACCCTGCCCTCAGCCATGGGGCACCTGGAGCCTGTGCCTTGCAGGACAGCAAAAGTGCTGCAGAGCTCAGGAGTGGGTGATCCTGGATCTCCCTGCTCCAGTCCTGCTTCTACCCCAAAGTTCCCAGCTCTTTATTACCATTATAAGTTCTGCAAATGGACCCCAACACTTCCTCCCAAAGCAGATAAACCCTTTCTGCCCCCACTCATCATGATTTATGCACAATTTAGAGGCTCTGCTACCACCAGTAGGTACCTCCAAAGAATGAAAACATCACGTAATACCTGTTTCATCTTCGGGAGATGTCTCCATCCTCCTCTTAATCTGGGTACCACAGCAGCCCTGGCAGGGGCAGGGAGTCAGACCCACATCCCTTGTGCAAGAAACAGATTCTGTGGTCTGGGTCTGGTGGCTTCGATGAGCCCAGGAAAGCAAAAGCGCCAAATTCATCCAGATTTTGCTCTCCAGGACTCTGCACAGCCCCATCCATGCCCCTGCCTTCCCTCCCTCCCCCCCCCCTTCCCGCCGGGATGAGCAATCCAGTGCTCGCAGCGCTCCAGGAGGACGCTTATTTGCCTAATGCACTGCTGGCAGCGGGCAGGTTGTAAATCACCCTGACACAGCCACCGACTGACTCCGCTGGGATTCCGGGAGATTAAAAGGGAGAATAAATGTAGGGACACAAGTCCTGCTCCACTTTGCTCACAGCTTCAGTGGCTTTGCGATGTTACAGGAGTGCTCAGCACCCACTGGTGGGGTCCCAGTGCTGTGCCCGAGCCAAACCCACCTCCTGGCCCCAGTTAAAACTCCAGTACCCTCCAAGCTCCTAAACCGCTCCGGCCAAGTCCTTCCAGCTCTTTTGTACAAGTCCTGAACCTCCCTTCCCTTCCCCATCCCAAACTTTTGTCTGCCCCACTCAGCCAGGTGGGAGCAGGAGTGAGAGAGAACAAGGGATGGATATGGACATGGAAAAGGGATGGACATGGAGATGGACAAGGGATGGACCTGGAGAAAAGTCCCCAACTTTGTTTTTGGGGAGGTAATTTCCCCAAATTGCCCCTGTCTTCATCCACTCTCGGAGGTGAGATGCACCCGTGCAGGGTGGGATCTGGGTAGGGGAAGGGTTGCAAATCAACCCCCTGCCCTGCGACATTTCTAGCCCGTGGAAGGGGGGTCCCAGCACTTCAGCACATCCCTGCCAGCCCCCTCATCAGCACGCAGGGGTGTGTTCGGCGCTATACAACCCCTCAAAGCAGCTGGGGACAGCAGCAGGTAGAGGGGGACACAGCCATGTCCCCAACAGTGCCGGATGAAAAACCTGGGACATCCCCGCCATGGAGGTCCATCCAACACCTGCCATGGTCTGGAGCCTCCCCGTGTCCCCAGCCATGCCCGCAAAGCACCCCTACACCTTCTTGGAGACTGAAGAAATGGGGAAACTGAGGCACGGTGGGACGCGGAGCGGCCAGGAGGGGAGAGGGGGACACTTACGAGCCCGGGCTCGACTCTCGGAGGCGAAGAGGAGCAACAGGCACCGGAGGAGGAAGACGAAGGGACCCGCCCCGGGAAGCATCGCAGCCCGGCGGTCGGTGTCGGTCCCGGTGCCGAGGTGCGCTGCCCTATATCCCGATGCTGCTCCCGGTGCGGTGCCCGGTGATGTCTCGGTGTCTGTGCCCGGGGCTTTACTCCCACGGTCGGTGCCCGACGGTGCCGAGGTCTCGATGCCGGTGTGCGATGCTCGGAGGTACCGAGACGCCCGTGCCGGGGCTGTCGGGGCCAGGAGTGCTGTGGTGCCGATGGCAGGAGTGTCGGTGCCCGGGCGTGCCGAGATATCGGTGTTCGGGACTATCGGTGCCCGGGGGTGCCGGTCCCAGGGGATATCGATGCCGGGGGTGCTGCGGTGCCGGTGTCGCGGTGCCGGTGCCGGGGGTGCCGGTTCCTGGGGCTGTCCGTTCCCGGAGGTGCCGCGGTGCCGGTGTCCGGGGTTGCCGGTGGTGCCGGTGCCCGTGCCCGGCGGGGCTCGTCTCGCTCCGATCAAAGGCGCCTCCTTTAGGGAGAGCCGAGTTTGTTTGTTGGTATTAAAGGCGGAGATAGGGTGGGGGGGATCCGCAGGGTGGGTTCTGTGTTGTTTGTTTTTTTGCTGGTCTTTTTTTTTTTTTTTTTAAATAAATTATTATTATATTCCCACTTTTTTGGGGGGTGTTTTAGGAAATTCCTCGGCGGCGGGAGGGCGGAGGGAGAGCGGGCGGGGAGTAGTGCGGGAGCCGCAGGGTTAACCCCTACCTCCCTGCAGCCCGACCGGGGAGCTGGAAGGACCCGTTGGGCTGGACCCCGTCCTGGGGAGCTACGAGCCAAGAGGTGACGCTAATGGGATAAATTACCCCCCACACACACACATATGGGGCTGCGCTTCTTCTCCCTGTCAAACCCACCTGGACACTCGGCTCTGAGATGCTCGAACGCCCCCGGGAGAGGTTTAAACCCCCACGCGGGGTTTGAGTCCGTGCAGATGCATCTGCCCCACCCCGGGCACAGCCCTGAGCATCCCACGCTCCGAATGAGGCAAAGCATAAATCCGAGGTGCAGTATTCCTTTCCAGGGCTCTGCTTCACCACCGAGGTCCCCCAGTGCCATGAATCCCTTCCCAGTAAAACCCAGTTCCCTTTCTAGTGCCATGGACGAGCTCCTTCTCTCCTGGGGCAGCAGAGGCAGCGCACAAGGGGCAGAGGTTTCAGCGAGACAAAGCAGTCGAGATCTCTCCCCACCAGCTGTTTGACATTCCTCCGGCTGCATAAAGCCGATTAAACGACCAGCCTGCAGCAACCCCCTCACCCTCGATCCCAAGCCACAATCCCAAATCCTTCTCCCACCATCCCAGTGGTGTGGAAAGTGCTCTCATCTCAGCTGCCCTTCATCTCTGCATGTTGGGAATGAAATGCCATTGGCTGGAAAGCCACTGGTCACACAGTCACCCCTGGAGAAGCCACCTGGCCTCTATAACACTTTGCTCCTGTTACTGCTGCTCCCCAGATCCTGCACAAAGTGGTCCAGCTCTGGCTGCCAGCCCTTCTCTGCCTGTCTGTGGGGCTCAGCTTTCTGCTCTCCAGAATCCTTACAGTGAGGTTGGACAGCACCAGGTCTTCCCTGAGTAGCTGTGTCCACTCGGCAGTGCTGCTTCGCTTGCCCAGAATAAGCCAGGGCCACCAGTTCATCATGGAAATGGATTCCTGCAGCTTCCTTAGACTCCCAAGCCCAGATTTTGTATGGTTTTTTACCCCGTTGTCCTGCTCCACTTTCACAACTTGCACTTCCAGGAGTGGTCAGAGCAAGACACTTCATTAGCACATAAAATACAGGCTTTAATGCAGCACTGAATGCCTTCACGCCCAGGTTCCACCATTGGGAAGGCTTGGGTGGAGGTCTCAGACCTTGTAGGAGCCCTGGGTTTCTCCTTTGCAAATGGCTTCATGCCTCTTCCCTTCATCTCCTTCGGCTTCCTCACACCACTGGCCAGGGAGAGACTGTCACCACCTGCGATCCCTTCGGTGACTGGAGATCTCCTCCATCAGCCAAGTTATTTATTTCCTTCCATTAATTCAAGCTCAGAACTGGGCTTTCCAGGCTATGAGATCTTTGTGCCCAGTGCCATCCCACTTGAGAATGGCACTAAGCCACCAGTCCTCCAAGAGCTCCAAGGTTTCCCCAAGCCCCTTATCCTGCTCACACCAACCACAAGCCCCATTTGTCACAGACATGAAAGCAATCAAGGGGAATTTCTGCAGCAAAATCTCTTCTTTCCATCTACCTCTTATTTCTGTCTGTCTCTAGCCCTATCCCAGGTGCCAAAACCATCCCTATTTTCCAAACCATGTTTGCAGGTGCCTGTTCCTGAGGAAAATCTTGGTAATAAGAAACCTATTTTAATAACTCTTTGAATCGCAAGCTTTGTTATTTTCTCTCTACACATCGTCTGGCACTGGTCCTCTACAGAAAGCACAAGTAGTGCCACCCCTGTTGCATTTCAGGGCCAACCAGAAATGGGAGTTCTTCTCACAGGGAAGAATTTCTTCCCTATGTCCAATCTAACCCTGCCCTCTGGCAGTGAGATGACATTCCCCCTTGTCCTCTCCCTCCAGGCCCTTGTCCGAAGTCCCTCTCCAGCTCTCTTGAAGTGCCCCTTTAGGCACTGGAAAAGGCTCTAAGGTCTCCCCGGAGCTTTCTCTTCTTCAGATTGAACACCAACAGCTCTCCCGGCCTGTCTCCAGAGCAGAGGGGCTCCAGCCCTCAGAGCATATCCGTGGCCTCCTCTGGACTTGCCCCAGCAGCTGCACATCCTTCTTCTGTCAGGGACTCCAGAGCTGAAAGCCCTCACCACCTACCACAGCTTCCCTTATTTCACTGCTCTGCTCATTTCCAGCTCCCCGTAAGTTTTGCTGGCAATGCCCCTCTATTTTTTCCTCACGCCTCGATAAAGATATTAAAGGGGTTTGGGTAAACAGCAGGCTCCTCCCATTTCCCACCAGGAACAGCCAGCACCTTCTTTCCCAGCTTTTCCCTTGCACAGGGCAGACTTGAAAAGCCCATTTGTAGCACAGGTCTGTGGGCAAGTTATGAAAGTGCTTAGAAAAATGGGGACACGAAGCCCAAGTCAATGAAGTTATTTTGCGCCTCTGCTGCAACAGCAACAGCTGAATTCAGGACTGTAGATACTGGCCCCACATCAGGGCTAAAACTTATGAGAAAGTTCAGGCCTGTCCTAAGTGCAGACCCAGGAAATAAAGGCCAGCCTTGTCCGGAGCAAGGTGCTGTGTTACATCTCTGTTGGGTCTCATAAAGAATACATTCACGCTTTGGCAAAACCCAGGCGCTTTATCTTCATCTGCAAAGGAATCTGTCTGACAGTTCAATAGTGCCAACATCAATCCTAGAATCAGGCTCCAAAACCCATGGCATTGGCCTGCAAATAATAAAACCTGAGTCTTTTTTATTTTCCTTCTACTTCCTGAGTCTTTAGGTCAAGCTCACTTCATGTTTTCTGGGCAATTGAGAAGATGAGACAATTCCTTTTTTTCTTTTTTTTTTGAGAGAGAGAGAGAGACTGAAAACTGAGATTCTCCTACAAACTACTGAGTAAACAGCATGGGCTCCAAAAACACCCCCCACCTTGAGAGCCCTGTGGCAGGATCATGAGCTGACAAGGCTGCAGGCTGGAGGAGCTGGCTGCACACTGGACCTATCCTTGGAAGTCTGTAGCCCTGCATCCCTGACATTTGATCCGATGTGGGCCAGGAGAAACACACATGTGAGGGCTGTCAGCTGCAGGTAACAGAGGTGGAAACCTGCAGGACCTTGAGATGTTGGAAACTGGACTAAAGAAATCTTGCTGCAGGAATGAGTCCTGTCCCAGGAATTGAGGAGCTGCTGCATCACTTTATGTCAGGCTGCTAAAACCTGTAGCCTGATGTGGGTTTCTTCTGCCCAATCATGAAGGATGCTCATCCCAGGGAAGGCAGGAGTAAGTCCTGATCACAGAATCATGGAATTGTTAAGGCTGGAAAAGACGTCTAAGATCATGGAGTCCAACTGTTTACCCAGCACTGCCAAGGCCACCATTAACCCATGTCCCCAAGTGCCACATCCACACAGCTTTTAAATCCCTCCAGAGTTGGGGACTCCAGACTGGGCCAGGCTGGACAAGCATTCTGAGGAGGGAATTTTCCCAATATCCAACCTAAGCCTCCCCTGGCACAACTTGAGGCCATTTCCTCCTGTCCTGTCCCTTGTTCCCTGGGAGCAGAGCCTGATCCCCACCTGGTTCCACCTCCTGTCAGGGAGTTGGAGAGAGCAAAAGGGTCCCCTCTGAGCCTCCTTTTCTCCAGGTTGAGCCCCCCCCCCCCCAGTTCCCTCAGCCACTCCTGATGCTCCAGACCCTTCCCCAGCTCTGTTTTCTTCTCTGGGCACACTCCAGCCCCTCAATATGCTTCTTGGACTGAGGGGTCCAAAATGGCCCCCAGGACTGGAGGTGCCTCACAGTCACTGCCCTGGTCCTACTGCCACACCAGTGCTGGTACAAGCTGGGATGCTGATCAGGCAGCTGCTACCCAGGATGCATTATCCATGATCCTGCAGTGAAAACCACAGTCCCTGCTCATGCCCCAGAGCCAGCCCACCCCACTGACCCTCTGCCAGCCATGCAATCCAAGTTGGCCCCATCCTCCTTTCATCATGAGGGGAAAACAACCCCCTATTCTGCTTTTATTTTTAACCACTGACCAAAACCATCACAGCCTCATGGGGATGTGGCCAGCAGGAGGGTTGGGGTTACCCAAAGCAGAGATGAGATTCCTGCTGTGATTCCACAGTCTCCCTCTCTTATTCCTTATGACCAGTGACCATGTCCTTTATCCTTACTATGCATTTGAGGAGGAGTCAATGCATCCCACATCAGATTGCCAGATGTCCAAGTAGAGTCAGTGGAGTTGGATATGGGCATTAAATGGGATTATGCCTCTCTGCCATATTCCTCAGGGTACAGCTAAATCAAGCAAAATTCATATTTTTTTTATGCCCCACCTTCACAAAATCCCATCCCATGCCTGAAGCCTCATGAGTTTCCTCTCCTAACCTGGGGATTTCAAAGCTTGTCCTTGCCATTTCTGCAGAGAGGGCAAAATCTCCTGGTTTCTCCCCAGACTCCCAGGAGGACAGGAGTCACATCTTCAAGGCCCCCGAGAGGCAGAAGATGTGCCACCAACACTGTCCAGCCCAAGTCTTGTTGCAGAGCTCAAACAGGGCTGAGGCACAGCCCTGACTGATCCCTTCCGTCTGCTTTCCCACACCACCTTATCACAGTGCACTTTATCCCACCCTCCTGCTGCTCTCCTCAAGGAGGGTGTGACCCAACCATGTGCCCTGGCACCCAGAAACCCCTATGCCCTGGACTGATCCCACAGCGTGGGCAGCAGGGGAGGGGGGGATTCTGCCCCTCTGCCTGCTCAGGTGAGACCCTACCTGCAGAGCTGCCTCCAGGTCAGGAGACCAACAGCAGAAGGACATGGAGCTGCTGGAGTGAGTCCAGAGGAGATTATGAAGATGCTCCAAGGGCTGGAGCCCCTCTGTTCTGGAGACAGGCTGGAAGAGCTGGGGGTGTTCAGCCTGGAGAAGAGAAGGCTCCAGGGAGACCTTAGAGCCCCTTCCAGTGCCTAAAGGGGCACTTCAAGAGAGCTGGAGAAGGACTTTGGAAAAGGAGTAATGGCTTCCCACTGCCAGAGGTCAGGGTTAGATGGGATATTGGGAAGAAATTCTTCCCTGTGAGGGTGGGGAGGCACAGGTTACCCAGAGAAGCTGTTGCTGCCCCATCCCTGGAAGTGCTCAAGGCCACGTTGGAGGGGGCTTGGAGCAACCTGGTCTAGTGGAAGGTGTTCCTGTCCATGGCAGGGGAGTGGAACAAGATGAGCTTTAAGGTCTCTTCCAACCCAAACCAGTCTATGATTCTAAACCATCTCTTTGGGCTGCAGAGTCAATCTTGCCTCCCTGCACGATGCCCAAAGAGCTCCTCTCACAGCTCTGATTCAAGTGGGAAGAGGAGAGCTGACAATCATCCTTCAGGCTGAGCCTTGGCCTTTTTTATGCTGTTCCTTCTCATGCATTAAGACTGCGGTAGAGCAACGCTGTAATTCGCAGCAGTGAAACCACGAGAGAGGAGCTCACTCTTTGCTATGAGTGATGGTGTAACCCTTGAACTCCTCTCTGGGCTCCTTGCAGCCACCTTTGCAGCCAGTCACCTATTCCCAGAACCTGGTTTTGACTCAGTGATGGCAGGAGATGTGCCTCCAAGCCAGAAGGCAGCACCGAGTGTCTCCTGGAGCTGCAAGGAGTCACATTTCCTGCAGGTAATCACCACCTCCTCATGTGGCTACAATTCTATAAAAAACATCACTTTATCCAGCACCTGATTCCCTGCTCCCATCCTGATTTCTCTACTTCTCACCTCTCCCGTTCACCATGGAGCAGCCCCAGAGATTACTTTTCCCAATGGACCATGTGTGAAACTCAGCCTTGCCCAGGAGCTTTCTCATGTCCCACAGCCCACTTCAAGCTGCAGAGGTGTCAGAGGACATCACCCCACGTCTCCAGGATCCAACTCGTGCTTTGGGGGAAAGGAGGAGCAGCCTTTACATTTATCACCCCACAGTGACCTAACGACCTGCAGGACCCATGCTGGAGGCAACATCCTTTGTTCCAACACCTTGGATACAAAGTGTGTTCCCAAGGGCTTTGTGGAGTCACAGCAGGATCCAGTGAAACCCTCTGAGGGCACATGCCAGCTCTCAGTTGCATATGGGAATGTCTTTTCCCATAAAACAGCCATAAACAGTGCAGGTAGGGGTTGTTTTCCCATCAATCTGAGTGCTGGTGGACTTTCAAGAGCTCTAAAGCTGCACTTTGGGGGGGGCTTAAGGCAGTCAATGACTGATGAGGCTTAAAATAATAATTTAGCAATGGAACCATGTAGTCCTACCTGGAATGGGAAATTGGGTCATTTTTTTTGGATTCTGTGCATGTTGCCAAGCACAAATCCAAATAAATAGTAAAATCCAAACAAATAATAAATCCAATCCAAATAATCAGGGCAAACCAGTGATAGAGAGAGGACAATGAGTATGAGATTCTCCTCCAGGGGCAGAGATCAGCAACCAAATAAGAGAGAGGGGTGAAGAAGGGCTGGACAAAGCAAGGGGGAAGGAGAGATAGGAAAAATGGGGCAACACATGCCACGGGTCTGTCTGTATTTCCTGACTCCTCTGGGACACATCCCACTTGCACCATATGTAGGCATCTGTCTAAGGGCAACATCATGACTGGTAGGATCATGAAGAGAAACGGTGGTGGCAAAACCCTGCCAGCTCCTCGGGAGAGCAGAGCAGAGAAACGCTCTCTGGCAGGCTGAGGAAGGCTGAGGTTTTAGCAGGAGGCGGCAGGATTTGAGGCTGGAGCCTTGCACGGGATTAGGATTCCCTCTGCAGGCCAACGCTGAGTTCCACACATCCCGAATTGGAGAACCACATACTGGAAGGGAAACCATCCTCTTCCACCCTCTGCAATGAGCAGGTACACCTTCCACAAAACCACATTGCTCCAAATCCAGTCAAAAGTGATGTTCAACACTTCCAGGAATGGGCAGCCACAGCTTCTCTGGGCAACTTGTGCCAGGGCCTCCCCACCCTCACAGGGAGGAATTTCTTCCCAATATCCCATCTAACCCTGCCTTCTCAGTGTAAAACTGTTACCCCTTGCAGGCGTTTGGCTTGGAAGACAAATTGGACACAGAGAAACCAAGTTCTGTCCGGGGTGGGCTGGATGTGCAGAAGTAATTTGGGAGAACATCTGGCAGAGATCCCTTTCCAAATCTGCAGTCACTTGAACATCTGCAGAGCCCTAAAGCCCGGCACAGCTGCTTGTCCTACAAGTAGCTTTGGTAGGGAACTGTCTCCTCTTCCAATGTTCTCTGTCCTTCCCTGAGGGCTCCTTAGGGCCCAGATCCCCTCCTGATCCTAAGGAATAACACATTCTCTCTGACTCTGTCCAGCAGCAAGTTTCGGGCACGTGCTGTTAGAGGCTGTTAGTTAGAGGCTGTTTCTTGGCCATGGATCTTCCCTTCCTCTCTCCAACTGTAGGTCAAAGGCTTACAGCTTCACCTCTGTCCCTGCAGCAACACTTTTTCTACTGCCAACCCAATGTAGCTGAGACACTTCATCAGAGAGGTGCAAAAATATGATGAAAAAAACACAGATTGGTTCAGTGTCCCAGTAAAGAGATGAAAAGCAAAAGAGATTTCCATAGCAACGAGTGCAGAAACTTTGCCTCCTCTGGTTTGCTCTGAGTCACCTTCTATTTGGTTTAACTCTGGCTGGACTCTGGGTACCCACCAAAGCTGCTCCATCACTGCCCTCCTTGGCTGAACAGAGGAGAGAAAATATACCAAAAGACTCCTGGGTTGGGATAAGGACAGGGAGAGATCACTCACCTGTTACTGTCATGGGCAGCATGGCCTCGACTTGGGGATATTATTGAATTTATTATCAGTCAAATCAGAGTAGGCCAATGAGGAGTAAAACAAATCTTAAAGACATCTTCCCACCCCACTTCCCTCCTTTCCAGGCTTAACTTCATTAAAAATTCTCTGCCTCAGTCCCAACCTTTTATTACCTCACTCTTTTACCTAACTTTCTCCTGTTGAAATTTAAGCCTGGGATTTATTGGTCCCACTGGGATGCTGGCTCTTACCTGCTGTCCCGCCTGAACAAGTATTTGTTTCTATTGTATATCTCTATGATAAGTAGAAGAGAATATCTCAAATGCCAGCACAACTCAGAGGACATTCCCAGCACAAGAAGGATGTGGAGCTGCCAGAGTGAGTCCAAAGGAGGTCATGAAGATTCTCCGAGGGCTGGAGCCCCTCTGCTTTGGAGGCAGGCTGGAAGAGCTGGGGGTGTTCAGCCTGGAGAAGAGAAGGCTCCAGGGAGACCTTAGAGCCTCTTCCCATGCCTAAAGAGGCTCCAAGAGAGCTGGAGAAAGACTTTGGAAAAGGGGTTATGGCTTCCCACTGCCAGAGGGCAGGGTTAGATGGGATATTGGGAAGAAATTCTTCCCTGTGAGGGTGGGGAGGCACAGGTTGCCCAGAGAAGCTGTTGCTGCCCCATCCCTGGAAGTGTCCAAGGCCAGGTTGGAGGGGGCTTGGTGAAAGCTGGTCTAGTGGAAGGTGTCTAGGGGAGGTAGAACTGGATGATCTTTAAGGTCCCTTCCAACCCAAAGCAGTCTGTGACTCCACGACTTGCCTTTAATAACCAGACGGTCTGTTTAGTCCCCTGTCTAACATAGCCGAGAGGCTGTTCCCGGGAAAAGCATGAGCATTTGGATGCCACAGGATCTCTCCTCATCCCTTCCCTGCTGGAAGAGCATCCCTCTGCAAACCATGCCCAGAAGAAGAGGCAGAAAACGGGAGACAGATCCAAGTAACCTGCTCCCAAGGCAGCTGACAATCCCACAGGGTTGGAGCTGGGCTTCACTGGACACACCGAGCCATCCCAGCACCCCTTTCTCATGCCCACGTCTCGCTCTCTTGTTTTTCAAACCGTTGCCTGGCTGTTCACTGCCCCCGCATCCCTGTCCATCCTACTCTGGAGCCACAGCCCCTCTATGCCGCATTTGTTTTGCAACCTCCCCGGGTTCGTGGAGGGGACAGCGGCATGCTCCAAGGGCCACGGCCCCTCAAGCGTGACCCCCTCTCCCGTCGGGTTGCCCCTGTCCCGCCGAGAAGCCCCTCACACCGGGCGCAGTTCCCTGAGGGGGCCGCAGCGGGACCGGAACAGCGGCTACAGGAGCAGAGCGGCGGACCCTCGTTATAAATCGCGCTTCATGAATATTCATCGAGGAGGCGTGGTCTGCGCGGAGGCGGGACGCGCGAGCGCCGCGCTTATTACTATGAATGGCGGCGCGCGCCCCCTCATGAATTATGCGGGGTAGGCGTGGCCGCCGCGGCCCTTCAAAGTGTGGGAAGATGGCGGCGGCGGCGGCGGGCGCTGGCGGCCGGGCCGCGCTGCGGGGGCGGCGGCGGCGGGGGCGGCCCGCGGCCGAGGAGGAGCAGGACGGGGTGGTGCTGGCGGTGGCGGAGTGCCCGGTGTGCCGGCAGGCGCTGGCGGAGGCGGTGACGGTGACGCCGCCTTGCCGCCACTCGCTCTGCCTCGCCTGCTCCCAGCGCTGCCTGCAGGGCCCGGGCCTGTGCTGCCCGCTCTGCCGCAGCCGCCTCTCCACACGGGCCCGGCGGCAGCAGGCCGAGCCCGCAGCCACCACGGCGGCCGGAGGAGGAGGCGGGGAGCAGCGGCCGCCGGACCAAGGTGCGGCGGCGGCACCTGCGCCCCCCCCACCCCCGGGGGGGGGGGGGACGCGGGGGGCCGGGGGCGTGGCCTGGGGCGCGATGAGTGCGCGGGGGCTCAGCCCCCGGGGCGCGGCCACGCGCGGGGCGTGCGATGAGTGTGCGGGGGCTCGGACCGAGGGAGGCGGCGCCACGCGCGGGAAGTGCGACGAGTTTGCGGGGCTCTCAGACGGGCGGGGGGGGGGGGGGGGGGGGGGGGGCGGGAGGTGCGATGAGTTTGCGGGGGCTCAGGCCCGCCCCGAGTCCAGCGGAGCCAAATGTGGGGAGGTGCGATGAGTTTGCGGGGGCTCAGACACGTATCCGGCGGAGTCGAGCAGGAGGAGTGATGAGTTTTGCCAGGGATCAGCTCCCCCGAGTCCTGCGGGGCCGTGCCCTGTCGGGGCCCAGACCCCCATGGGGCGTGGCCAGTGCCGGGGGCGGGGGGGCGATGAGTTTGGGGGGGGCTCAGGTGTCGTTCCCTCCCCCGCCGAGTCCTGCGGGGCCAAACGCAGGAGGTGCGATGAGTTTGTGGGGGCTCAGCCGTCCCCCTTCTGCCCCCCCCCGCCCGGAGTCCTGCGGGAGCGATCGGTGAGGGGGCGGCGGGGCTGAGCCCACCCCTCCTCTGTGGCGTCAGGAGATGGAGTGGATGGATGGCGTCATCCCTGGAAGGGATGCCCGGACGAGGGGATGTTTCCCCGCTTCGCCGGGCCCAGATCAGCAGCTCTGCGCTCCAAGTGCCCATCGGGTCCCCTCACCCTGGAGGGATGCGCCTGCTCCCTTGTTGGCATAAAATAATCCTGAGTTCCTGAGTTCCTGGCTTCTTGTCACGCGTTTCCTTCCTGCCTCCAAAGCCAGCTGCCTTCCTCAACTCCTGGAAAACTGCTCCCTGCGTTTCCTTCAAAATCCTCGTCTGAGCCGTCGGTGTTGCTCTTTCCCAGTGGGAGCTGCTGGAGATGCCCACCTTGCTGCTGTGAGCTCTCAGAATGCACCAGGATCTCTTGGCTGGGGAGGTGATGCAGAGATCAGCCACCCAGGAGCAGTGCTGGGGGGAACCCTCTGGAACAGACAAGGATTTAAGTTACGGATAAACATCCTTTTAGCTGGACCCGGAGCATGTTCCTGGTCTCCCAGTTCATGCTTGTGTCAGCATCCTCTAATTGGCTGCGGGAAGAATTGGCAGGACGAGCTTAAACAGCTTAAATTGGTGGTTTGAACTAACCCTGCTAACCTGGAAGAGATTTAAGGAGCCTTTGCCTGGAAGGATTTGCAGAATCAATGAACAGCCGGGCTGCCCAGAGGGAGCTGCGCCAAAGGGATGGGAGTGGTTCCTCTGGGAACTCCCCAAGTCAATCTCTGCTCCAAGGCAGTGCTGTCAGTCCTGCTTAAATGGACTTAACTTGGTCCAGGCAGGCTTGGATGAGAGTATCCAGTTATGCTGCAGGAATGCTTGTGCAGTGTCTTGGTTGGTTTTTTTTTTAAGAGGAATCAGTTTTCATTCTCTGCTTATCCTGGATTTTGGGTAGGATAAGGGGGAATGGCTTCCCACTGCCAGAGGACAGGGTTAGATGAGATATTGGGCTGAAATGCTTCTCTGTGAGGGTGGTGAGGCCTGGCACAGGTTGCCCAGAGAAGCTGTGGCTGCCCCATCTGTGGAAGTGTTCAAGGAGCAACGTGGTTCAGTGGAAGGTGTCCCTGCCCATGGCACTGGATTGGAACATGATGAGCTTTATGGTCCTTTCCAAACCAAACCATTCCATGATTCTATTTTGCAGTAAGGCACAGAGTTAATTGTCTTGGTTGTCATTTTCTTGTGCTCTAAGTTGTGCTCACAGTGTGGGAATCAAAGGCAGATGATCCATTGGAAACAGGGACCTCCTGCTTGCAGGGAGAGAGCAGTCGAAGTGGTTTATCCTGGCATTAGTGAGGCTGATCGGAGGATCCCAGCGTGGCTGAGCCTGGCAGGGAGAGCCAAGCCCTGCTCAAAGCAGGGTTACCAGGAACGTGTCCAGGTGGGTTAGTACCATCCCCAAGAGACTCTGTGGCCTCCCTGGACAACCTGTACCAGTGCTTGACCACCCTGACAGTAAAAAAGTGATTTTTCTATGTTCAGTGATCTTCTTTTATTTTAATTTGTGCCCATTTCCTCCTGTTCTGTTACCACGGAGAAGAGCCTGGCTCTGTCTTCTCCACTTGTCATTTAAACACATTGGTGAGATCCCTCGGAGCCTTCTCCAGGGCGAACAGTCCCAGATCTCTCAGCCTTCCCTTATATGCCATATAATCCAGTCATTTGGCCCTTCACGGATCAGTATAAACAACACTGCTGCTCTCCACTCATCCTCTGAGCCAGCCATCATATTATGGAAGATATTGGTTAAGCCTGCCTTCCTTTCCATACATCCAGCACCACTTCCCACCTTGTCTGGAAGTGGTGTCCAGGAATAGTTTTTTCCTGGGGATCAAAATGGGGCTGTCCCTGTCATTCCTCCTCCTGGCCCTGTTTGAAGGGAAGTGTGGCATTTGCTTTCTTCCAGGCCTCACGAACCTCTCCTGATCACCATGACCTGATCAATGTATATAATTTATATATCAATGTATGTAGGTCCCTGAGAGAAAGACCTACAGAGCCCAGCTCATCCTAGTGGTGCCCAGTGACAGGACAGGAGGCAATGGGCACAAACTGAAACACAACAAGACCATAAGAAAAAATGGGTGACCAAGGACCAGCACAAGATTGCCAGGTGAAGTTTCCATCCTTGGAGATTGTCAAAACTGGACATGGACCTGGCCAGCCTGCTCCTGGTGACCCTGCTTGAGCAGAAGGGTTGCATGCCCAGGGGTCTTTGCCAACCTGAATTATTCTGTGAATTCTGTTATGAAGCACTGATTAAGCTTATATTAAAACAGTTGCTTGTTGAAAGTCTTGGAAGGCAGAGAGGAGCAGCAGATGGGAGGCTTGGAGACCATGTGCGTGAGGATTCAGCAGGCCAAGGAGAAGGAACAGAACATGTTTGCAGGGAAGTGCTCAGCCTGATTTGTAAGAAAATAAGTACATTCACATGTCATAGAGTCAGAGAATCGTTCAGGTTGGAAAAGCCCTCCAAGACCATTTAGTGCCCCGTTCTCCCAGCACTGCCAAGGCCACCACTAACCCATGTCCCCAAGTGCCACATCCACACAGCTTTTAAATCCCTCCAGGGCTGGGGACTCCACCAGTGCCCACAGTCTGTTCCAATGCCTGACGACCCTTTCAGTGAAGAAATTTTGCCCAGTATCCAACCTAAGCTTCCCTGGCACAACTTGAGGCCGCTTCCAAGGAAGATGGAGTATCTTATTAATCAAGGAAAAAGAAGGGTCTTGAGTCTTGTGAAGAAGGACAAACAGATGAGATCGTGGCTGTGTCTTCTCAGCAGGCACAAGGCCAAACTTCAGGATCAGATACCCATCTGCACTGATAGGTTTTTGCCTGTCAACTCTGACATGACCATCTCAGATTATAGATAATGTCACAGAGCTTGGAAAATTGCTGAAGAACAAATGTTGTCATGTGAACTGGGAAACAGAAATTCAGTTTTCCAAGGAAAGGGCTTGATGAGATGGTGAAGAGCTTTAGACTCCTAAAATGAAAGTGGTCTAGGAGCGAGAGAATAAATCATCATAAATCAAGCTAGATGGTTTGGGTTAGAAGGGACCTCAAAGCACATCCCGTTCCACCCCCTGCCATGGGCAGGGACACCTTCCACTAGCCCAGCTTGCTCCAAGCCCTGTCCAACCTGGCCTTGAAAACTTCCAGGGATGGGGCACCCACAGCTTCTCTGAGCAACCTGTGCCAGGGCCTCATCACCCTCACAGGGAGGAATTTCTTCCCAATATCCCATCTAACCCTGCCTTCTGGCAGTTGGAAGCTATTCCCCCTTCTCCTGTCACTTAGTGATGATCCATGTGGGTCCCTTCCAACTCCGGATATTCCATCTGCCCATGTAGAAAGTCACTCTCCTTCTTTTTTTACAAACTTCCTTTAAGTACTGAAGGGCTGTGATAAATGACTGGTTATACAACAGACCCCTAGGTGTTTTTGGGAGGGACAGGGAAGTTCTGCTCCCTGTGCTGAGGTAGGACTGGGTGTACCCAAACCATTCCTCACAGACATCCCAAATCTCTCATCCATACCCAGACAGCAGGATGGGATCCCACCTTTGCTTCAGTCTCTGAACACTTGGAAAACTTTCCTTAACATCTAATCAAAATCTCCCTTATTACAAAGGCAGCTGATTTCTTTTGTTTCTTTTCTGCACAACAATTAATAACTGATGCTGAAAGAAGGGTGTTTTTGCCAAACTTTTAACATGACTTCCCCCTCCTTCCTCACAGTCTTTTTTTGGCTGTGGTTTCCCTCTTTCCCCACTGGCCCAGACCAGTCTAGTTCTGGAGCATTTCCTGGTGATTCCTTAATTTCCTGTTGTTTCTGTTGTTCTGTAGCCTGTCACCAGTTGTGTTTAATCTCAAGGCCACAGTGTTTGGAAGTGGTAATCCTGATGAAGCTTTTCCCTGCCTTGGGAAAAGCAGTGATTTGCCCCCTATATCAAACTGATTAAAGCCAACACTACTTCTTTTTTTAATCTACCATTCAAGCTGTTAATGAAGAGAGTGATTGGGACCTGACCCAGTGGCCAGTGTGAGAGCCTGTCCTGCCATGGCAGTGGATCATTAACTCCTGGAAAATAATTGTCCAGCTAGTTGTGCCTCCATCTGAATCCTGCTTATACCTACAGTAGGGGGTTTTTTTCTCACTGTGCTTCTAAATGATTTTTAAATGTTCTTCCCAATTAAAACAACAAAATACTGGTTCCATTGAGACCTTAGAGCCCCTTCCAGAGCCTGAAGGGGCTCCAAGAGGACTGGAGAGGGACTTCGGACAAGGGCCTGGAGTGCCAGGACAAGGGGGAATGGCTTCCTACTACCAGAGGGGAGGATTAGATGGGATATTGGGAAAGAATTCTTCCCTATGAGGGTGGTGAGGCCCTGGGCACGGATTGCCCAGAGAAGCTGTGGGTGCCCCATCCCTGGAAGAAGACCAGGTTTGGAGCAGCATGGTGTAGTGGAAGGTGTCCCTGCCCATGGCAGGGGGTGGAACTGGATGGGCTTTAAGTCCCTCTCCATCCAAACCATTCCATAATTCTACGCAAATCTGTTGGAAAGCTTTATCTCAGCTATTGGCATATCTTCATATCATTTAGTTAAACTACTTCTCTTGGAAAACTGTTTCCAAACCTCTCTGTGCTCACAAAAGTTCTTGGTTTGCGTTTTGAAAACATTTTAAAATTTCACCTTCAGCTGCAAGTGTAAACACTGACTGCTGGGAGTTAAAAGGGAAAACAGTGAAAACCTCAAGGGTTTTTTTTATCCCTGCCAGGAGTAAAGGGGAGAAGGAAGCTACAAAGTCTGCTGAAAGTTTCCTTGGAAGCTGGGGGTGAGGAGATTCGCTCCTGCTCATGGCACAGCTTTGACTTGCCGAATGACATCAGATTGGCAAAACTCAGGAGCCTCTGAATGACAGACAAGGCTCTGAGTCGAGTTCAGCTTTACTTTTATCCAACCCATGGTGCTGAACTTGCCAGATGGAGGTTTCTGGATCTTTTGCCAGTAAATATAAAATGTGCTGGTCAGGAGTGCGGCTCCACGGAGACAGTGTGTAAGGCACACTTCCAACCTGGAAAGGATGGAGTCAGAGGGGATTTAGGCTGTCAGGTGCCTCTCATAAAGAAAACCAGCATTAAATAATTAGAAAATCTGTTGTCCTCTCAAATAGTGCAGAAATCAATTGGTTTTTCCAAGGCCGAACACAATAGGATGAAACTCTTGTCTGCCAGGATAAAAGAGCAGGATGCCAGGTCTGATCCTGTTTTGGTGCTCTTACCTCAGCTTGGAAGGAGTTTCCCAGTTCCAGCCTTCCCAGCAGCCCTTCAGAAACCGTTTCCTCTCAAGATCACTTAATCTTGAGCCACAGATGAGCTACTGTGGTCCCTTCCAACCTGACCCATTCTGGAATTCTGTGGAATGCAGATATATAGCTGTGCATACATTTTTGATTCTGTCTCTTCTACAGAGTTGGAGCCAACTATAAAATATTCAAGTTGGTGCATAAAGACTATGGATAAAATTGCCTCCCTTGAGCTAAACCAGCACAACTTTACAAATAACTGTTATCCCATTATTTAAAATCTCTTCTGGCTTGGCTTGCTGAACCCATGTGAGCAATGAGACAGTTGACATGGCTCCTCTTTCCAGTTGTATGTTTCCCTGAAGGGGAAAAAAATCCACCTTTTTAGCTCTACAGACAAGGTCTGAGACAAGCTTTAAACATTGAGGAGTGATTGAAGTTTGCTGCAGGGGAGTTAGATTCCTGTTGCCTTCAGGACCATTCCAGTGGAAATTCAGCTTGATAAAGTTCACAAAGAACTGGAACTGCTCAAGGACACAATTGGAAAAACATTTGGGGAAACCAGTGGAAGGTTTCCAGCATGGCAGGAGCAAGGAATGCAGCCTGGCCTTCCCAGCACTACCTCTGCTTGGGATTTTTATCCCACATGTTCGGACATTTGGGATGTTTTCCTTTAAAAACAAGCCTGGCTCTCATAGGTATACAAGGAAGAGGGAATAGCAGCTTTTTTATTTTTAAAAAAGTGCCTTATAATCTATGTACTTGATGTTTGCTTGCATGAGATTATTTTTCTCCTTTCTGAAGGAAATATTAAAGAAATACACTATGATTTGTTCAGCATTCCCATCTCCAGAGGCTACAGAGTTTGAACTCACCCTCAGTGGGAGGAACTCAAGTTACAGGACTCTTCTGTAAGATAAAAGCAAACCAGTGAAAAGCAGGACAAGTGAAAACAGGATTTAGTCAGTGTTTAAATGGCATGTGTGGGCACCAGGGCTGTGACCTGTCCCCAGAGAGGATGCCCAGCAGGAGAGTTGGCAGCAGGTCACTGGGTGTTTGATTCACTCCCCCCGCTGTGAACCTTTCATTTTGGGCCAAGTAAAAACGCTTCCTAAATAAAGGAAGTCCTGTGAGGAGCAGCTGAAGCAGCTGGGGGGTCTCAGCCTGGAGAAAAGGAGGGTCAGGGGGGACCAACTCTCTCCAACTCCCTGACAGGAGGGTGTAGCCAGGTGGGAGTTGGGAAAAAGTGACAGGAGGAGAGGACACAGCCTCAAGCTGCACCAGCGGAGGTTCAGATTGGACATCAGGAGTTTTTCATGGAAAGGGTTGTTCACTGGAAGGGGCTGCCCAGGGAGGTGGTGGAGCCCCATCCCTGGAGGTGTCCAAGGAACGACTGGATGTGGCACTCAGTGCTGTAGTCTGGTTGACAAGGTGGGGATCAGTCACAAATTGGATTCTTGGAGGTCTTTTCCAACCTAAATGGTTCTGTGAATTTCTGAAATCGTGATGGAGCTGCTGGTTTATATCCTTTAATTTTAGCAAGGTGGAAGAAGGAAATTCCCCTGATGTTTCCTCCGTGCTCGTACCTGTTCCACCCTGACCATAGCACATTGGAATGATGGGCTGTCCTGCACCCTACCTGGAATACTGATACAGATTGAGCCGGGATTGTTGTCCAGGGCTTGTTTTATTCCTGTTGTTCCCTTTTCCATCCAGGCTCCTCCAACTGTAATGCAACTTGCCCAGACTTGCACTGCACAGAAGTGGGAGGGAGCTTTGTGGCTGATAGAAGGAAGGGAGTCCTTTGGGAATAACAGACTCCACGAGGTTAAACTATAACCCTGTGCCAGTAGGCTTTTGGTTCCTGAATTCCCGAGGGGGAAGGGAGGAAGCGGGAGCAGGATGGGGAATTCCTGCCAGACAGAGTGAAATATTGACCTCGGGGAATGAATTGCAAGTGGAAAAAAAGCTGTGCTTACTCCAGATCAGTAGGACAACGCTGCAAACAACTGGAAGGGGGTGTGCAGGGGAAAAAACACTGTTTATCCAGAAAATAGGGAGCATTCCCGATGCATTGATGTCAATGGAAGAAGGGCAGGAATGTGAATTGATGGTGTTGTGCAGCAGCTGTCAGCCTGTATGCCTTGGGTGTCTGGGAGTAGGAGCTTAAAGCCTGAGTTTATTCCTAGGCTTCAGGTTCCCTGTGCTTAAAGCCTGGATTTATTTCTGGGACTTACTCCCCGTGCTTAAAGCCTGAGTTTATTCCTAAGACCCAGATTCCCTGTGATATCACCAGGCTGTTAACTTCACCCCTGTGTTTACATCATCCCAATACTCCTCTGATTGCTTAACTGCTTGTCAAGGACTCTTGAGAGTCTCCAAGGAAACTCTGGAAGTGCAAAGTGGGATTGCTTGGCCACCGTCCTCCTGATATTCCTGCATGTTAAACAGCGCTTTGATAGCAGTGGTGGAATATAAACATCTGGAGTTGGAAAAAGTGCTGCAGAACCTCTTGTGCAGCCCATGGAGATCTCACACTTTTAGGGAAATAATGGCCAACACCATTATCCTACACTAAAAAGTGTTTCCTTTCTTTTTTTTCCCTTCTCTTTCCAGATTTTATATTCAGAGCACCCATTAAATTAAGCAAACCAGGGGAACTCCGAGAAGAATATGAAAGCCAGCTAAGGAAGGTCAGTATTCTGGGTAATTGTGTGTTTTCTTCCAGGAGAACTTGGATTTCCTGCAAGAATGCCATCCTGTAGAGAAACCTGAAGGGCTCTTTATTCCTGCTCTGTAACAAAAGTCATTTATTCCCTTTATGCTGTTCAGCCACTTCAGGAAATGGCTGTAATTGAGCATTTAGAAACCAAATTTTGCTGTCTTAGTCTGTCTTCCAGAACATGGAGATGTACCTTCCTTGGAGCAACTGGTTGTGGATGTAATTCCATAAACACTTCTGCAACATAAGATATCTCCTGCAAAAACATCCTTCTCCTCAGAAACAAACTATTCCAAACCAGAGCTTTCTGTTTATTTTTAGGCAAGGAAAAAATGTCATTTAAAGGTCAAAAAAATGATAAGGGAAGAAAAGCTTTTCAACTGGTGTGCAGTTAAAGTCTGTGAAAATATTTTCTCCATTTAAAAAGGGATTTTTGATCTCTGTGATGTGTTTTCCCTTGAGATGGGTCCAACACCTCATTGATTATTCTACCTGCTGGGGAAAAGGAACCCAGGGGGTTTTTCACTGTTGAATTTTCTTTGGGTTTTCACTTGAAAATATCAACAAGAGTAGAAAGGGCTGGGAAGCTGAGTTAGAAAAACAGCCTTGTCTGAGTAGGAAAATACTGTTTAGGTGATATTTAAGGTAAATAACTAGTTTAAGAAATGCATCTGTGTGAGGAGACAGTTAAAAAGTGTGGAAGGGGCTTCCCTCCTGCTTCCACTCATGTGGAATTAGCAGTGGCACTGATGGGAAATGTCACTGCAGGTGTTTAGGGTAACTTTGGCTGACTGTTTCATTAGCTGATACTAAGAATTGCAGACTCTTCTCCCATCCAGGTGACTTGGCAGGAAGGGAAGGAAAGTTTGTGTGCAAAGTTGTGGGACGTGTGGCATTTTCAGCAATGATGAGACACTTTGTTGAGGAGCAGTTGGGTCTGGGCAACAGTGTCAGACTTTAAGTGCACAGGAATCTTACTGCTATAAAAATCTAATTAATTAAGTAATTTAAATGTGCATCACTGTACTTTTCACTGTAAGATGAGTTGACTCAGGGCATCTTTGGCTTAAAGATGAAGAAATAAGGGGTTTTTGTATAGGTATTAACGGGTGATCTAAAGTTCCCTTGCAGTGCCTTCAAGGAAGCTGTAGAAGGACTTTTCATCAGGAATTAGTGACAAGACAAGGGGGAATGGCTTCCCACCACCAGAGAGCAGGATTAGATAGGATATTGGGAAGAAATTCCTCCCTGTGAGGGTGGTGAGGCCCTGGCACAGGTTGCCCAGAGCAGCTTTGGCTGCTCCATCCCTGGAAGTGTTCAAGGCCAGGTTGGATGGGGTTTGGACCAACCTAGTCTAGTGGAAGGTGTCTCTTCCCATGGCAGGGGGTGGAACTGGGTGGTCTTTAAAGTCCTTTCCAACCCAAACCATTCTGGGATTCTGTGAGGCATATCTGGATCTTCTGGAAGGATTAAACCATCTTCTCTCATAGATCACTATGAACCTTTTATAGGAGCGTTGCAAAAAGATACTGTGTGCAGTTCAGTGCCAACACCTCTGCCTTCCTCACCAGTCACAAAGAAATATTTTAACTACTTTCTGACATTTTGGGCCTGTTTTTGTCTCATTCCTGTTCAGCCTCCTGCCTTGCCCTTTCTGTTTCTCTCCAGATGGGAGATGGGTTTCTTTCCCATGCCAGCTTAAACTTCTTATGAAACTCAGCTGAAAGAGCTGTGGGGGGAGAGATTCTCTGAATTGTCATCTAAGAGGAAATGGCAGTGAAATTTTGATGATAATATCACAACTGATGCTGCAGTCACTGTATCCTTATTTATTTCCTTATTCCAATCTAAGCCCCCTGTGGTGCAACTTGAGGCTGTTTCCTCTCATCCTGTCACTAGTTCTGTGGGAGAACAGACTGACCTGGCTCCAACATCCAGTCAGAGAGTTATAGAGGCAAAATTGTGACTGTTGTTGGTTATCAAGGGTTTCTTGGTGTCTCTGAACTTCTGAATTAGGCAGGAAGAGAACTCAGCTCCGGGAATCTAAGCTTTTCCTGATTGGGATTGCCTCTGTGTCTGGAAGCACAAGCTCTCATCTCAGCTCCCCCTGCCTGTGGAATGGGGATAACCCAGGCTGGCTTTCCTGAGAAAGGGAGAGGAGCATTTCAAAACGTTTTTACTCATCCCAGATGCGACTTGTTTTCTAAATCTGACAGTCTGTGGAGTGAAGAGAAGATACCAAGTGTGCATTTGCCAAACTTTTGGAAATAAATATTAATATCAGGAATGATGGTCCTAAAATGGCTGTTTCTTACGCAGAAAATTATCACTTGTACAACATTTTTCCCCTGCAGTTCCAGTACCCAAAACAGCTACAAACAAGTTAAAATGCATTTTCTGGTAATTGTGCTGCTAACTAAGCTGATGGTCCTGCATCCAGTATTCCAGAGATGCTACTTGGGTAACTTTCTCTCAGGGTAGATGTTTCACACCACATTGTTTCAGTTTCTCATCCTCATGTCCCAGCACATTTGTATGTGCTAGCACTTGTAAAAAAATTCTCTGGGAGATAGTTTACACAAGGCTACTTAATTTTTATTTTTTTTTTAATTCATACAGATTTTATCATTAGAGGTTTTTTTGTGCACAGCCTGAATTCTGGACCTAAATTCTTTTTTGTGTCCCTTGATTAGGATCCTGTTGTTGTCTTTTTGACTGGTCACCATCAGCAAAGCTTGTGCTGGCACCTCGCATAATGTATTTGCCCAAAATCTTTAAATATTTCTGTATGATATTACATATGTTTGTGGCTTTAAATTTAGGAATTTAGTATAATTTTATAATTTAACCAAAAAAGTGAGGATTTCCATATGGTTTTCTTTGAGGTGAGAAGTAGGAAAGGGACGCGAGTGTTGGGTAGTATTTCAGCTGGCCAAAAAAAGTCATCTTTATGATAAATCTTGATGTGAATTTTTCAGATACTTCAAGAAAGGCTCCTTAAAGAGCAGAAATACTGTTGATTTACAGCAGACTATTCCTCATGCCTCGTCACAATCCATGTTAATCAGATGTTGTAGTTATTGCTTGAGATTATTAATAGATAAGGAATTTAAAGACACATCTTCAAACAACTCCAAGCAGGAAGTCAAATCAGTCTTTGAAAACATTTGCTGAACACCCACAATCAGCCAAACAGTGGAGTTTTTCCTGGTTTCTGTCTACCTTGTTCCTCCTACCTCATCTCTGGGAGCTCGGATTCAGTAGGATTCAGGTCTTTTCCAGCTTGAAAATCATGATGTGCTTTTCACGTAATGACTCAAGAACTCTGTTTTCTTTGTTGTCCACATGTCCATCATTTTGGGATTTTTCCGTCCTTCAGCAGAGAAGAAAAAGCGTAAATATTTTGCGAAGAATAAGGAGTTTTTGCGAGTTGTTGCCTTTATGAGTAGAGGGCAACGTAACACAGCAGGTTCTGAAGCACCTGAGATGCCCACGCTCAAATATGAGGAAAAACACAAGGATTTGAATTCCTTGTGCTGTGGTTCATCCGTGTAATAAGGATGTGTCAGTCAAAGGTCCAGCTGCTTGTCTCAGACAAGGGTAACTTATCCACAGAGGTTGGATGGAGGAAGGAGGGAGGATCTGTTCTATTTACAGATATATGTAGACTATTCATGACCTGTGTCAAAGTGCCTTTGTTGTTTTAAAAAGAAGATAAAATCCCTAACATATGTGTCGAAAACACAAATATGTTGTAGAAACAAACCAGTCTTCACAATATTATGAGAGAGAGATAGTGGCTGTGCCCTAGAGTAGGGAAATGAAGGCACAAAATTTAATGCTGTGACCAGACTCTTGGTCTTGCCAGTTTGTGGGGAGGACTTCAAATATTATAAATATCTCGTTTTTCATTGTTTGCAGCTGAGAGAAGAAAAACTGCAAGAAGAAAAGGCATCTGAGGAGCTGATTCACAAGTTCGTTGTAGATGACATGGATGTAGGGAAGAGAAAAACAGAGGAACAGCAGAAAAAGGACGAATCTGTCGTGCTGAAAGTGAACCAAGAGTGTGTAAGTAAGCTTGTGCTTCTCCTTCCTATCCACATATCCAGAGCTTTCATCCTTTGTCTTTCCAGAGTTATTTGATTGACCCTTTATAGCCCCTGAAGGCTGTGAGCTAACAGATTATAAAGATCCATGTTGATGACTGCAGATGTTCTTCCAGAGGTTTCTGTGCCCCTTTTTACCCACCAACACATGACTCTTCCAAACACAGCAGATAAATCTGCTTTGGGATGATCCTTGTGCCTTTCCATGAACATTTCCCCATGAATCTTCTGCACAATTCTGAAGTTCAGCACATTCTTCAGGCTGAGTCTTGCCTGTTTCTCATTTCAGTTGGGAGGCTCTGTAGGAAATGCTCTTAAAATTTCAGTTTGATGGGCTGATCTGTGGAGACTGAGTAATGAACAGCCCGTAGTAATTTAATTGTAGGATTTTTGCCACATTTTCTTGATCAGTAAATTAATTTTATTCAATGACTATACATAGGAGCTGTGTGCTTATTTTTGCATTATTTATGCTTTATGTCCTCTCGGTACAATCGGAAATGAGGGCTTTGGGGATCTTTAACACCTTTGCAAGAAAGAGCTTTATTTTCCAAGTTATTCTCTTTGTTGTACATGTCAGTTAACTCTTCCTTGATTGACTTCAGTTTCCTGAACGTCTCTCGGATTCAGAGAATGAAGAACCATTCCAGGGCAAGCAAACGCACCGGTCAGCTTTTGTTTCCAAGACCTCCTTTGCTTTCCTTTCAGGGTAAGATGCTGAGACTTTATTCAGTGTCCCTTAAAGATGTTCTTTCAACTTGTTCTAACAACACACCTGAGATGCTTTAATTCAAATGGTTGTTTCAATCCAAAATAAGTGATTTTTTTTTCTGGAATTTTAGAGCAGACTCACTGTTAGGACATGGTGTCCATCTGCTTACTTCCTACCTGTTATAAAATCCAGGGGATCAAGGAAGTTAATGTTCATCCCGTGAAGCAGAAAAATCATTGCCTGTAGATTTAAATCATTAGTCAGGAATCAGAATCCTGTGGGATGAACTCAGGAGTGCTAGATCATTCTCCAGCACAGACATGAAGAGAGGCCATCAGCCTGAGACGGCTTTTTCCCTGGAAAGCTGTTGCTTGACCCAGTGGAAGCAGCTGAGTAACCAAGTGTGTCTCCACATGAGAAGCAAAGGGGTTTCCACAGCTTCGTCATTAGCTCTGACCTCAGTTAATTATGAGCCATGGGTGGAGGTGTCCATGTATTTAGTAGGGAGCCCATTAACACAATCCAAGATTCCTGGATCCCTTTCCCAGAGGGCGTAGGAGGTATCTCTTACAGTCAGGTGCTGCCAAGGTTGATGTCTCTCCCAACAGCTGCCAGGGTTGTTGAGCTGATTGTCCCTAAGGCCATGAACAGTCCTGTTTCCACCCATCTGCTTTTCAGGAATTTAACTGCCAAGCTGGAGAGGAGTCGAAGCTGCAACGACACCATTCAGGAGAGATCCAAGAGCAGGCAGAGATCAGCCCCAGCCAACAAAACAAAGGTACAGGCAGCATCTGGGAACAGGTTGTGGTATGTAAATGTTCTTATCTGAGGTTACACAGCACCAGTAGTCTGGAGATATAAAACATGGGTTTGTGGTGCTGTGTTATTGCCATGGGGCCAGTCACTTCCTAGTAAAAACCTGATGGGTTGCTAAGCAGAAAAGCAGAGAGGTGGCAGAGTTCTTGGAGGCTAATTGGAAGGATTGTAATCAGCCTTTTGTTTTGTGATTCATTTTCTTTTCAAGGCTGAATCTGCAGCCAGTGAAAGAAAAATCGTATAGAATTTTAGGAAAATAATCCTTTCTTCCTTTCCCTTTCTCTCTAAAGCTGTTTGAACTAGCAAAAGTTTTCCTGACGACAGAATATGTTCTTTGGCACTTCCCTGCTATGGGAAGAGATTCTTAGGATCGTAGAATGGTTTGGGTTGGATGGGACCTTAAAGCTTGTCCAGTTCCACCCCCTGGCATGGGCAGGGTCGCCTTCTAGGTGCTCCAAGCCCCATCCAACCTGGTTTGAGCAAGATGATCTTTAAGGTCCCTTCCAACCCAAACCATCTTGTGATTTTGCCATTGGAGGGGTTGCCACTTGCAGCCAGAACAGCTCTTGCACTGACATAAATTTGAGACCCAAATCAGTCTGGGTCCGGTGCATCCTGCTCATGTCCCATATTGACCATGGAAGGTGCTGTGTCCAGAGAGCACAGTAACCTCAGGTTCTCCTGTTTTCCTCTCACATTCTTGTCCTTCTGCTCCGTGACCAATATCCCGGGTGCTCTGCATTGCCTTTCAGGTGCTGCCTGTGACTGGCACGTCGACACCGCTGGTCGGGGTCCTGTCGTCCACCCAGAACAACCGCTGCCTCTCGGCCCCAGACCTGACGGCTGAGAAGCGCCTGGTCCTCACCGCCGTGTCGTCCCTCTCGGCCCTGCACAAGCCAGAGCGATCCATCAGCCCAGAGAGCAACGACAGCATCTCTGAAGAGCTCAACCACTTCAAGCCCATTGTCTGCTCCCCGTGTACTCCTCCGAAGAGGCTTCCCGACGGCAGAGTCCTGAGCCCTCTCATCATCAAGTCCACGCCGAGGAACCTGAACCGGAGCCTGCAGAAGCCAACCACCTACGAGGCCAGTCCAAGAATACTGAAAAAATGGGAGCAGATATTTCAGGAGCGTCAGATCAAAAAGACTCTCTCTAAAGCGACCCTCACATCCCTGGCTGCAGAGCCTGTGGAAGACGTTACGGTTCCTGACATCACCAACTCCAGCACTTGCACTAAAGAGCAGCCACAAGTGCAGGATGACCACCTTCCACCTGACACAATGGGAGAGCCTCATCCCAAGCTGGATTCCTTCCCTTCCATCAGTGAAATGAAGCTGGGAAGAGGGAGCGAGAAGAACAAGGGTTCACAGGCCTTAACAAGAGATGACAGTGCTGCCGAAGTAGATGTGAGATCAAATGTAACCTCCTTGAACACACGAGTGTCTGAAGGCCCTGACCTAAAACTCATGGACAAATCCTGTCTTAGTCTTGGCCCAAAAATGCTGAGCGTGGGCATTGGCACGACGCTGCCTGACAGCAGCACACTCGGAGTCCCTGCCAAGGCACCGGCGAAAAAGCAGCTGAAATACCTGAACAACAGCAAGTTGATGAACGTGCAGAACAGCACCTGCAATTCCGTCGGGAACATCATCACGGAACAGCCGCCGCTCCTGAGGCGGGGCCGGAAGAGATGCTGCAAAACAAAGCACTTGGAGCACAACGGCTCCGTCAAGAGACTGAGGCACACAGCAGGGGAGGTGCCTCCGGAGGTGCGGGAGAGGGAGCAGAAGCTCCAGCAGGAGGAGGAGGACAGGAGGTTGGCCCTGCACCTCCAGCGGATTTTCGACAGCGAGAACAGGACAGTGGACAGGCGGAAAGTCCGAGTGGATCGGTACCTGCTGCGCTCCAAGAGCACTCTGGGAGCCAAGTAGCACTGGTGGGCCGTGCTGCCTTTCTAGAGGACGATGAGGTTTATCAGATTGTCTTATAGGAGAACTATTTTTTGCCCTACTTCCACCCACACCATTGTTTTCTTGTTCCAGTGGTAAGGCGTTCGTAGGTCCAGTTCGGAGAGAAGCCAGAGTCCTTTCAGATTTGAAAAAAAAAAACAGGAGAGAATGAGGAGAGAAAATCCTTTCTGGTCCATTGGTCTGAAGGCGTTGTTATCCCTGTGAATACACTGCAAGGCCTCCACGTGCACGTGGGTTCCCCAGCCTGGAGGGTTGTGAACATGGGGTACGAGGTAAGGACCTCGTCCATCCCTTGCCAAGGGAAATCTGAGCTCTGCTCATAGAAATTAGGTTTGTTCTGTCTTACAGTTTTCTTCTCTCTGCCTGCCCGATTTTCTCCCTCAGACTGTGGAGTCAGGCCTTATCCATGTCAAATGACTTGAGGGCTGCTGGGGAGGGAGCCTGTTCTGTATTTCTCCAAGGAAATCCCAAATAGAGCCCCGTGGAGTACTTAAAAATGAATGTATCTCACTGTCTGCACCAGCAGTACAGACCATACGTCACTTTCTTGAAGTAAAAAACCAAATGCAGTTAAAAAAAGAGACCTAAAATAAGGATTTTACCGAAAAGCCTTATAGGGACTTGTAATTCCATGTTAGTGACAGGGCAGAGAGCTTGGGTGGAGCATTGGGCGCTGGGATCCAGGGAGCTTTTCTCTTAGTCCCTGCCTCTTCCAACCCAGGAGGGTTTCCTGTTCTTCCCTCTAACACTGAAGGAAGGGAAATGCCGGCTGGGTGATTTTGTGAAGGACGTTCTCCCTGTTGACACGTACCCTCAGGATCTTGCTTGGTTAAGAGTTCTCTCTCTAAGACCTGTTCTTACATGTCCCAGAGGAGACATCCTGAGGGATCTGACACATCCCTGTGCTCTCTAGGCACCCAATGGTTGGCTTTGGAGCTGGGATGGGAGACCAGCCTTCCACAGGACTTCCCCTGCTCTGAGCTCCCTGGCTCCAGGTCCAAACCACTAAAAAAGCTCAGGTGAGCAATGCACTAAAAATTCCCACTTCCAGGCATAAAATTGGGCCTGCGGCAGAGCTGGCCCAGAGCCTGGGCTTGGTGGAGCGTGTGTTCTCTGCCCAGATGTGGCCTCCCACCCTTTGAATGTTTGTAACACTCATCCATCCATTAACTCTGTGGATTATTTCCAGTAATGGAGCTCAAACAACACTGTTCCACCTCGATCCTTGAAAGCTGCCTTGCAGAGTATTCACTGGGATCCTCGGAGCCCACAAGGATCTTTGTCCAGGGTGGAGCTGTGGCGTTCCCCACCAGCCCACCCATGTGCCAGATATTTTTGGGGATGAGTACAGTGCTGGGGCAAGCTTCTCCATGGATGGTGTGAAGGGAGGACACCCAGTGCACTAAAACAAACAGATCTGATCTAAAAGAACATTCGTTGCCCAATTTCCTCTGTCTAAAACCGGTTGAATTTTCTCCCTCCATCTTAAAACGGTTAAAAAGAAAACAGGAACTGGTTTTCTTTTTCACTGCAAGGACCCTGGCAGGTTTTTTTTTTTTCCCTAATTGAACTGGATTTTTTCAAAAAAAAAAAAAGGACAAAAAAAAAAGAAATCTTATATTTTAATGGATAAAATTTATATATTTTAAATACTATATTTCAAAAGATTGACACTTTTGTTTGGAGAAATCTTATAGCAATGATTCCATAATATATATCTGTATCTCTGGATCTCCTTGCCACCCAAACTACTGGATGGGTAAAGTTGTCCCCAGGACTGGTGAGACCTGGCCTGCTCTGTCTTCCCAGCATTCCAGGCCCTCTCAGAGCCTTGGGAGGTGTTGCTTGAATCGGGTGCTTTTGGCCCAAACTGAGTGCTGCTCCTCTTTCCAGCTGTGAATTAGAAGGAAATTGAGGAATTAGAGCCTTGGCCAGATCTGGAAGAGTAGCGTGGAGAGAAGGAGCGATGGCCTGGATCTGCCCTTGGAGTTCAGGAGGGAAAGCCACAGCTTTAACTCACAATCCATGTGGTTTCTCCCAACATTTTGAGCTAAAGTATGCACTTCCCAAGTGCATTTAGATTTAGAATTATTTTTCCACAGTTAATTCCTGGAGCCCCAGTCAGACTTCCTTAAAGTTTCCTTCTTTCTCGTGGCACTTCTTGTGTGGGTTCAGCCAGGCCTGGGCTGCCATACCACAAAAAAAGCTAGATTTACATGCTGAATGTATCTTTCCTTTCCCCTCTTAAAACAGATTTCACAGCCCAATGCACCAGGACAGTGTCTTAAATATCTCCTTTTGAAAAGATTTTACAAATATTTTGGGGGTTTATGCGTTAATCTCCTCTTTCCAAATCTGAGCTGGGCAGGGAGGCATGCCTCAGCTGGAGTTTGTCCCCAGCCAAAAAAAGCTCCATGGGACCCCTCGTTCCCCCAGCTCCCCCCAAAACAGAGATCCCAACTCCCCAAGCATCATGCACAGGCTGTGGCATCCACATTTAAGGAGACCTTTATATGTGGAATCACAATCGTGGAAGGGTTGCGGCAATGCGAAGCAGGATGAATGTTTTATTAATTTAACACTCTCAAAGCCTGTGTAAGCTTGCACAAAGGAAACAAAAATTGTAAATAATTACACTCAAAAGAGCAGGAGTTCCCAGCCTCTCCCATAAAAAGGTCAGGAATGGCACTACCTTTGCCAGAAATTCAGCCAGCTGAGGAGGAAAATACCTCTTGCAAGATGTGCAGAGGCCTGAGATGAAACCAAGTATTTATTCACACTTTAGGAAAGTCCTTTCTAACCCTCAGCCTTCCCTCTGGGATGAAGGCATCCTTTGTGAGAGCATCCTCCCAGAATGTGAAGCTGGGGTTGGTTCCATGACTTGTGTCTGCCAAAGATGCCACTGACTCCGGAAAGTTGCTTTCTAACGCTCTGGAGCAATTTGCCTGGGAAAAGCCGCACGGAAAGGTCCGTGTTTGGAGCCAGCAAGATCAGATAAATGAAGGAAAAGTGCCAAAAGGGATCATACCAGGTGATTGTATGATGATGTTCTTATATTGTCAGTATTTCTCTTCCAATGCTCTTGTACCTGCAGTGCACAGTAGTCAGGAAGTGTAACTTGACCAAGTATTTTCTCAATGAAAGCAAAGGGGGAGGTTGAAGCCTTAAAGACTCTCACTGATTTTAAAAACCAAGCCTTTAGCACTGCTCCGAGGGGAGAGACCCTCCGACAGCCCTGTCCTGTCTCCCAGCTGTCCAGCAAAAGCCTGACGAAGAGCTTGTCCTGTGCATTAGGGGAAGCATTTCAGGAAAACCTGGACCATTTCACACCTGAGGGCAAAACTAACCACTGTCCACGATGAACATCCATGGATGGGAGCTGGGTAGAAGCACAGCATGGAAACTGGGATGATCCACACACCTGACACAAACTTTCCCCCTCCCCATGTCTGGAAAACGCTGCAACTCATCCGCTCTAGAATTAGCTCTTCACTATGCAAATGGGAAAACCCTCAGCTGGGCACGGATTGGGATTTGCTGTCAAACTGTTCAAAACAAACCTAGATGTCGCTACACTTTTTTTTTTTTTTTCCCAATAATGCTTTATATTGTGCTTTTCCATTTGTGGAAAAATTCCAATTGTGCTTTCGCGTTCTAAGCTTGCCAGCAGAGCACTGGGCTGGTGACAAGACTTTCACGGTCATTTTGGGTCTCAGCTGAACCACCTGAATGTTTTCAAAAGGCACCGAAGGACCTTTGACTTGCATGTGTGAAATGTGTGAGTGGAATGACACGCAGGCAATCCCTCATGTTGTGGCTTCTGTTTGTTTGAAACAGAGTAAATCCTGCTTGTGAAACAACTGTCACAAACCAGAAACACGCCAACAAATAGCAAATGTGTACAAATAATGTTGTACGTTTTAACAGCAACCAGGACTTGGAGAGACTGCAGGGCAGAGGCCGAGGTTCAAACAGAATAAAACCAGGTTCTGACAGTGAAATCCCTGTTTCTGCCAAAGTTGCTGTGCTTGGAGACAAGCAGGATCCTACTGCTGCTTGTGCCAAACGGGCGAGGTTATTGAGTAATCAGAGAGAATCATTTAGGTTGGAAGAGCCCTTCAAGATCATCCAGTCCAGCTGTTCCCCCAGCACTGCCAATCCCACCACTAAACCATGTCGCCAAGTGTCACATCCACACAGCTTTTAAATTCCCCTAAGGATGGGGACTCACTACTGCCCTGGGCAGCCTGTGCCAGGGCTGGACAACCCTTTTGGGGAAGGAATTTTTCCTGTTATGGTTTCCAGGGGGAAAAAAATGGTGTAAGTGGGTATAACGACCTGTTTTTCATGTAGGGAAGCAGCTAGTGGGCAGTGAGCATCCTCCATTGCTTCCCATCGCTTGTCCCAGCCACTCTGATACCAGTTTTTGGGCAAGGATAGATGAGCACACTTTTATTTTCCAGGAATTGAGGAGCCCAGCAGCAAGCAGCCATGGTTTTCATGTGCTGTCCCTGCAGCTTTGTGGCTGTTTTGATGCTTCCAAGCTGGAAGTTAGTCCCTGATAACCTGAGATGAATCTTGTCCCAGATTTTCCAGGAAAAGGTTGGATTTTCCAATTCAGTTTTCCTACTGGATTTTCTTACCTCAGGAGGGGGGAAATGGCTTGGCCATCTGCTTGCTGATGGTTACAGGGGGGATCTCGTACACACATGGAATTGCTCCTCCTGCCTCCAGACCTGCCCTGGGGCTGGATTCCCTCTTTAGGAGGCCAGGGTTGTGAGCAGAGTGATGGGATGGTTCCTTGGATGGCTCAGCTCTCTTCCATCCCCACATGACAGGGATCCAGTTCTATCCTGGAACACACATGAAACATGGGAGCCCCAAAAGTAAAGGCACCAGCGATCCTGAGTAATTCCAAAGGAAAGGTAGATGTGCTGGGTTATTTACTATTGGCTGCAAAAGGTGCCTTAATTTCTTGCCTCTCTTCCCTCCTCTCTTCCCCAGCCAGTGCAGGGAAAAGAGCACTCGGAAGTATCGGGTTCTGCTTGCACTGGCAGTTCCAGATGGAACCACCATTGGAGCTGGGATGGAGGTAAAACATGGAAGATATCCAAGTCCTACTTCATGTCAGGGCAAACTCACTTTTACTCCAAGGCTGATCTCCCAACAGCTGGGTTTGAGGTGGGGTTAATCCAGCTGTGAATCCAAGGGACCCCAGCAGTAACTGTGTGCTATTTGCCCCTCTGTAGCCACAGCATCAGGGTCCAGCCTCGTGCTGGGATGAGGGCATTCAGTCTTTGTCCTCCCTTCATGGACATCCAGGAGGCTGCCACAGTGGGGGCACACTCAGCCTCACCTTCATCATGGAATCACAGACTGGTTTGTGTTGGGAGGGACCTTAAAGATCATCTGCTCCATCCCCCTGCCATGGGACACCTTCCACTAACCCAGGTGCTCCAAGCCCTGTCCAGCCTGGCTATGAACACTTCTAGGGATGGGGCAGTCACAGCTTCTGTGGGCAACCTGTGCCAGTGCCTCACCACTGTCACAGGGAAGAATTCCTTCCCAATATCTAATTTAAATCTCCCCTCTTAGAGTTTAAATTTATTACTGACCCTTGTCCCATACCCTTTATAGCACTCATCCCCTCTGGATACCTGTCATCTGCAGAGGACACATTCAAGCTGTCCTTTCTTGGTTTCCAGCTCCATGCTCTCCTGCTGAAGTGGCCGGTATTGCTGCCGGAGGGTGCTCAGGGACTTGTGCCTAAACCTCTCCCACTCCCTCTCCTCTCACAGTGTGTGATTTCCTCTGGGAATGTCTTGGCAGAGCCAGGATGAGCCAGAACAAATTCCCACCTCCAGCAGGGAGCACTGGGAACACCAGAGGAATGCCAGAAAATCTGTGCTGTCCCCAAACCCCACAGAGGGGCATGTGAATCACAAAATCTGATATTAAACTGAGGGAGCTGATCCACAGCCTTTCCCAGTGCTGCTGCACTGGGAACAAAGGATGGATTTGGGGCAGAGAAGGGAAAATGAGGAGAGCAACAGCCATTTCTCAAATGAGACCTGGAGATCAGCAAATGCCTGGGGCTGGAGCTGAATTCCCAGATTTGGCAGGAGGCTGTTTGCTTCCACTCAGTCTCACTCACAATTCCAGGGAGTCTAAACAGGGAAGCAGCCGAGTGCATCACAAAGATTTGGGGCTTCATTTGAAAGTTTGCTCTGCAGCAGCTGATGGAAGCAGCTGCCAGCCCCCAAATCCGGAGCCATCCCTACCAGGTTCTCCCTCTCCAGCAAAAATGGGAGAGGCCCATGGAGACACTTGGGTCTGACAGATAAGGGTCTCCCAGAGACAAAACCTCTGGATATGGAAACCTTCCCGAGCAGAGCTGCAGGTACAAAGAGGCTCATTAATAACAGGCTGGAGCAGGGACAGGTGAAACCCCATCATTTGCTGTCGCTGCAGGAAGATGCATCTGCCAGGATGTTGTGATTCCTTTAACAGAAAACTGATACACTACATTGAAGCAGCTAAATTGGATCAGTCCAAGTGGGTATCCAGCTCAGCATCTCCTCTCCAGCAGTGGAAAACAGTGGATTCCTCGGCATGGCAGCTCCACATGAAGGGTCTAATTAACGATGGATAAACAGCATCCTGTGGCTTGGCCACACAACAGATCTGTTGAAGATCATGGAATAGTTAGGGTTGGAAAAAATCTTCAAGGTCATCCCGTTCTGGATTCACAGCTGGATTAACCCCACCTCATCCAGCACTGCCAAGGCCACAACTAACCCATGTCCCCAATGCCACATCCACACAGCTGTTAAATCCTTCCAGGGATGGGGACTGTAGACAGCTCTTTTGGGCTTGAACAGGGCTTGGAGCAACCTGGTCTAGTGTCCCTGCCCATAGAACTGAATGGGATTTAAGTTCCTTCCCAACCAAACCATTCCATGATTCCATTATTTGAACACCCCGGCCCCTACAGGAATGACCGAGGAGCGGACTACATTTCCCAGTGTACCTCGCGGCGGGCGCGAGGGATGGGGCGGGACTTCCTCCCGCGTGGCCAATCAGGAGCGCCCAAGTGTCGCGGACGGGACGGGGGCGGAGGCAGTGAGAAGATGGCGGCCAAAAGCGGCCGGAACGGGCTCCTGGACAAGGTACCGCGGGCGGGGCTCCTGGGCCCGCCCCGACCGTCCCCCTGCCCCGGCCGGGCCCCTGGGCATCCCCCCGCCAGCCCTGGGCATCTAACCTTCATCCCTAGGCATCCTCCCCTTACCCCTGGGGCATCCCTCCTTTCATCCCTCAGCATCCCTCCTTCACCCCTGGGCATCCCTGGCTCATCCCTGGGCATCCATCCTTCATCCCTGGGCATCCTCCCTTATCCTTAGGCATCCGTCCTTCACCCCTGGGCATCCCCGCTTCATCCCTGGGCATCCCCGCCTCACCCCTGGGCATCCATCCTTCACCCCGGGCATCCCCGCCTCATTCCTGGGCATCCATCCTTTAGTCCTGGGCATTCCCCCTCCTCATCCCTGAACGTTCTCATCCTTAAGCACCCCCTCCTCATCCTGAGTATCCCTCCCTCACCCCGAGTATCCCCCCTCATCCCTGAACATTCATCCTTCATTTCTGAGCATCAACCCCCTCATTCCTGAGCATCCCACCCTTCCTTCCTTCCTATCTCCCCACCTTGTCCCTGGGCATTCACCCCCTCATCCTGAGCATCCTCATCCTGGGTATCCCCTACCTCATCCTGGGCATTCCCTCCTCATCCTGGGCAGCCCCCCATCCCTGAGCATCCTCATCTTTGAGCATCCCCAGGCCCAGGAGTTGGACTCGGTGATCCTTGTAGGTCCCTTCCAGCTCAGGATATTCCACGATTCTCTGAGATGTCGAGGGGAGCAGAGCTGACAATCCCAGTCTCATCCCAGTAGTGTAAAGTACCTTGGTTTTGGATTAGCTTTGGTCTCAACTCAGTGTCCAGGTGTTGTGTCCCAGCTTCTGGGGATCGTTGGCAGCCTGGGAGATGGAATTAAAGACCTAGAGGCTCTATTTGTGCTTCCCAAGGAGATGGAATTGGTTGTGTCTGTATCTATGGAGGTATCTCCAGAGGGATGAACTTGGCAACTTCTACTGAACTCTAAAACACAGGCACTTGCAGTTGGAAACACTGGGATTTTCAGTGATATATTCATTATTCCTAAAGTGTATAGTTTTCCTGCACCTGTTTGAGATGATGTTTTCCTCATATCCCTAAGAATTCCATGGTTTTCCTTTGGCAGAGTAGATTTAAGCTGTTAAGTGAGTGGTTTTAGGGCATTGTCTTTGCAAACTGCTCAGCTCTCCATTTGTGGTTAAACTTCCAGAACTCATGGAAACACCCTGCTCCCAAGGCATTCCTGTTCTTCTTGCTGTGTTCTGTGGATGCTGAGGGGTAAAAAACAGGAGTCATTGGGAAGGGAAATACACTGAATCCTCTAGGGAGAAACCACTGAGGAGTTTCTACCCCAAGAACACACACGCTTGGGAATGTTCCTCCCTTTCCCTGTGTGCCTTCATTTCCTCTCTCTGCTTGAGGGAACTCTGGTCATTTCTGTGAACTCTTGTATCCATTGGTGAGGAATCACCTGAAGAATTGTGGCCTTAAGTCCATAGTCTGTTCCAGTTTTTCCCTAGCAGGCAAATGACTGATGACCAGCAAGGCTTTGAAGCCTTAGGACATGTTGCTTGTTTACCTTTCTGTGCTTCCCTGAAAAGTTAAATCAGGGGGAATTTAGGGAGATTTGTGGTTTAACTATTCCATTTTTTTTCATCTTTCTCATGTCCTTGAAGACTTTGTGCTAACTGGGAAGCTATTCCTGAGCATTCCCTGCTCATCCAGGGCCACCTAAGAGTGCGCAGACACAGAATTCAGGATGATGTGGCCACAGTCCTCCTCGGGAAACCCCTCGGGATTTCTCCCATTTAAATTAATTGAATTAATCTAATT